CTAGTTCTAACAAAAGTTCAAAAACACTCTCATGCACGTACCCGCCATTGACTGCGTTTTGTAGACCTCCAGAAATTATGATGAAATCTTTTTTTGAATAATCAATTGACAATGTTTTGTATAGTATCTTCTAATTTTGCATTATGCTTAGCAAAAGTGAGGATATTGTAGTTCTGGTGTTGAAATACCTTTAAGTGCTTGTAGAGGTCTGCAACTGAGCTATCACCCAAAATAAGAACCTGATGTTGTATAGATTCACATCTCTGGAGAGGATCTTCCAGGTCACTATTCACATGGCTATGTTTAAAAGATTCAATATTTTTCAAGTGTTTCACCTCTTCCATATACATGTTCCGCTCATTTTCCAAGACCTCTATGGTTGTTCTAAGTTCCGATGCAGTCTCCTTCATCTCCCTCAGTTCATTTTGTTGCAGTCTCAGCCAATCCTTGTGCTCTGTCAATTTACTTTCGCTGACAACATTTAAAGATTTTAGATCGTTTATTTCTTTAACATACATATCTTGAGCGTCGGACAAAGAAGTGATCTTATATTCGAAAGCTGATTTGGTGTTATTTAGAGCCATAATCTCATTTTCAAGTGTCTTAATTTTTGATATGTGGGTATTTAACTCTTCACTGAGGCTCTGATTGGTTTTGATTACATCAGCCAGCTCTAAGTTGACACGCTTTAACCCCAATTTTTGAAAATCTATCGTAGATAAATAGTTTTTTTCCGCCTCAAATACCTCATCATCCAGTGTTTGAGTGCGACTCTCGAGGCGTTTAATATGACTATCCTTCATTTCATTTGCCCTAGTCAGTCTATCAATTTCCTGCTTTAAGCTTGATTTTAAATCCACAATGTCTGTTTCAAGATTGCCGATATATTTCTCTTTTTGAACTAATTTATCACTGAGCTGATCATAGTGCTGAGAAAGGTTATTAATCTCCGGAAAACAGGCTTTGCACTCCATACAAAAGAAAAGGAGAGATTTGTTCTGCAATAAAAGCGCATCCGTTTCAGTGGTGGACAGGTTTCCACAGTCTTTGCATATAAAGCGTTTGCATCCATCACAGTTACATCCAAAGAGTTCACTCTCCTTGGAGTTAGGACGTCTTTTAAAAATGCAGCTGGTAAGACAAACCGCACAATTGAAAGCCATGTTTGCCGCAAAAGTTGGATTAAATTATATCAAACCAAATTTCAAAACCTAATTCTTGTAGGTATCACCAGGTTCATTGACCCCCATGACATGCTTTAACATTAAATATGGTCCTGTCTAATATTTCCAAAATAAACAATATAAACAATAATACTCAAGGGGATTCCACATAAACACAATAAAACGTTATATATATATATATATATATATATATATATATATATATATATATATATATATATATATATATATATATATATATATATATATATATATATATATATATATATATATTATATATATATATATATATATATATATATATATATATATATATATATATATATATATATATATATATATATATATATATATATATATATATATATATATATATATATATATATATATATATATATATATATATATATATATATATATATATATATATATATATATATATATATATATATATATATATATAATAAATGGACTACCAAACAAATGAAAGCAGATCAAAAAGCAAACCAGAACATCGGGCAATTTCTACATCTTAAAGAAAGTGATGAGTGTAGGCCAGAATGGAGGGAAGTATTGAACAAGAGTTTCATTTACAAGGCGTTGTAGGCTCAGTGGAACTCTCTGGTCGCGTAGAAAATGGTTTAGTGAAAAGCATTTGGGAAAGTGCCCATGGAAAATCTACTAAGAGCCAACTGGTTATTCCAAAAGATCGAGTAGAAGATGTATTGAAAGAAATACCTACATGACAGAATTTCAGGAGCACATTTTCGAGTTGACAAGACTTTGGACAAAATTCGAGAACGTTTTTACTGGGTTCGGGTTCACTATCATGAAGACTTTAAAAACTGGTGCCGAAAATGCGACATCTGTGCTACCAGTAAAGGCCCTAAACTAAGATCTCGGGAGGCCATGAAACAGTACAACGTTGGTCTCCCATTTGAACGGATAGCGATAGATGTAGCCGGACCGTTTCCTGAGTCAGAGCGTGGTAACAAATACATCTTGGTTATCATGGATTACTTCAGTAAATGGCCAGAAGTTTTCGCTATTCCCAATCAAGGAGCCATCACTATTGCTCAGGTGCTAGTGGACGAAGTTTTCAGTCGTCATGGTGTGCCACTAGAGTTGCATTCAGATCAGGGACGAAATTTCGAATCTGCCATCTTTAAGAAAATTTGAGAGATCATGGGCATTCGTAAGACAAGGAGCACACCTTCACATCCACAATCTTATGGCATGATGGTAGAACTATTTAATAAGACCATAAGGCGGTTACACACGGACGTGAATGTCTGAAAACATGTACGCACATACATGAACGCGCAAACAAAAACATCAATAGGCGGTTACACACGGACGTGGATGTCTTAAAACATGTACGCACATACCTACATGAACGCGCAAACAAAAACATCAATGTGTATGCAAAATACCGTCGCGTTTTTGAATGTGGAATCGCTAGAAATTTTGTATGCACACTAGCAAGACTGAAGTTTTGTGCGAGCGTCTGTACAAACGCGACATGCACGTTGTTGTTTGCACGTTGATGTATGCACGTATATGTATCAAGACATCCACGTCCGTGTGTAACCACCTTAAGACGCTCGCACAAAACTGTAGTCTTGCTATTCTTGCTACAGTGTTCGGAGTGTGCATACAAAATTTCTAGCGATTGCACATTCAAAAACGCGAAGGTATTTTGCATACACATTGATGTTTTTGTTTGCGCGTTCATGTATGTGCGTACATGTTTTCAGACATCCACGTCCATGTGTAACCGCCTAATGTGTATGCAAAATACCGTCGCGTTTTTGAATGTGCAAACTGTAGAATGACACTCAAATGAATTCTGGAATCGCTAGAAATTTTGTATGCACACTCAGAATACTGTAGCAAGAGTAGCAAGGCTGACAGTTTTGTGCGAGCGTCTGTACAAAAGTGACATGCACGTTTTTGTTTGCACGTATATGTATCAAGCCATCCACGTCCGTGTGTAACCGCCTATAGAGGAACACCTGACAAAAGTGGTCGCGAAGAACCAGCGAGATTGGGTCAAACATTTGCCTCTATTTTTAATAGCTTACAGAGCAGCTGTTCACGAGTCAACAGGTGAAAATCCAGCTAGAATCGTTTTTGGAAGGCAGCAGGTTACCTTGCGATCTGATGCTTGGAATACCTGAAGAAGAACGAAAAGCAATTCGAGATTATGCCGACGAAGTAAGGGCACGACTTCTAGGAATACACGATTTAGCTCGGGAGCATATTCAGCTGGCCAGTGACCGAATGAAGACCAGACACGACCAGCCGGATTTCAAGAAGGTGATTTAGTATGGCTGTATAATCCAGCAAGAAAGAAAGGGGGAAGGAACCTACAACATAATCAAGAGGATCATTGATTTGGTCTATCGAGTTCAGCGCAAAACCAGATCCAGGAGTCATTTAGATTTAGACAGATTGACGAAGTATCATGGGCGTGAAGTTGATCGAGACGATTTATTAAGATTTATTATTATTATTATTATTATTAGTATAGCAATAGGAAGCGGTTAGTGTCCGATGAGTCTACTGCTTTGAATTGTCTGGGTTTTGGTCTTATGTATGAAAAGTTACAAATAAATGCACTGTGTCATTATTCAACGTTTCTAGGTTTATGTCTCGTATAATACGACACGGTTGCTCAGGAAGTTCCTTCTTCCAAGCAGTAGGACCGTTTCTCTTTTTAATATTTGATAGTGTCCTCTGAGATTGCGGTTTTGATTTAAATTTAAATTGTACCTACATATCGATATCATAATGTCCAGAGGATAGTAACCGCTGAGAATTTTGTAGGTCTCTATTATTAGGTGACCTCTTTATCTTCGTTGTTTCAGTGTTGTTAAATTGAATTTTTGTAGCCTGGCCTCGTAAGGTAAATGTCTAATCTCGAGTGGAATTTTAGTTACCTATTCTACGTTGCACTCGCTCCAAAAGTTCGATGTTATTAATATAGTAAGGGTTCCACACTGTATGGCCATGTGTTTCCCATTTTTGATCGTTAGTTACATATACACCTAGGTCCTTCTGTTCTTTTACATTTTTTAATTCTATGTTGTTGATTTTCTACTGAATCATTGGGTTTTTGCGACCTATATGGAGCACTGTCCATTTTGCCTTGTTGAGCTTGAGTTGCCAAGTGCTTGTCCATTGCTCTATTGTTTGCAAATCTTCTTGGAACAGGTGCATTTGTGTCAGTGGATTGCAAAAATCAAAAAGAAAATGGAAGCTATGACTGATCCTTGTGGTACTCCCCTTGTGACTCTGTAGAGGTCCAAGTAAGTTCTATTTGCTCTTACTTAGAAATGTCTGTCTTTGAGAAAGTTCTTGCTCCACCGTAGGTAGAGGCCTCGGATTCCACAGTGATCCAGTTTTTATAACAACCTTTCATGAGGGACAGACAATGCTTTTTGGAAATCCAAATACATATAGTATATCCACTGGGTTTCTTCCGCGCCACTGGAATCTAGGTAGAAAAATTTATAAAATCCTGTTGTCACCTTTTCGATAACTTATGCGAGAGCCGAGATACAAGGGGTATTTGGTATTTCAAAATGCAACATTTTCCAGAACAGCTTGTATCTGAAAAACAAAAAGGGCGATGACAATTCTGTTAACGGCATTTTTCGTTTGACCAAAAAGTAGCCAACATTCGCGAAAACAGCATCCTTCTAACTCCAATAGCAACCGAGACATCCCTTATGGACAACCAAAATGGGCCACCCTGTATGTACAGCAAAACACATAACATACCAAAAGACAGACATTTTATGAAATCTATTTATCATTTATTAAAATATAAATAATATATAATTATATATCACACAAAAGAAGGAGCTAGGCATAACCGAAATGCTTCTAAATTGTTAAAACCAACAATTCACAGTCATTTAACACTGCGAATCAATTTTTTTTTTGTGCCAAATGAACCATGTATTTCATTCAACATTAAAAATTAAGTACATACTACAAGGTTTGTTAAAAAAATAATTTTGTCTCAAACAAAGTTTGCTAATTGTAAAAATACACGATTCCGTAAGCACAAATTAGTAATTTAAGTCAAACAAAAACAAACAGAAGAGGAAATTACTTGCACGTTTCATTGTATCACTTTTCGCCTTTAACGCAAATAATTTTTGACTTGTAGAAACTTAGTCCACCTTTCTACAATCCCAAAACTAACAAAAATTCCCTAAAAATTATATTCAAAAAGCCCTGAAACGCGTTACACGTTACAGAGACAGCGTAAAAATTATAAAACAATAATTTACTAACTAAAATTGCCGCTAGCGAATTGAAATTATAAAATTGCTTCTTCATTTGCCAAAATCTTAATAATACACACATAAAGTAAGTGTTTTGATTAAAAAAAAATATATGGTTAGCGTTAACAGTATATTTTGAGCAGTGTTTAGTGATGTTCATGATCATTGCACTAACCACTTTTGATTCATTTTTGAATACAGCAGAAACTCAATTGTACTATTATTAATAATAAACTGTTTCTATTGATCAAATTTGAAAAATTATCATAACAAAAGTTGTTTGCAGAAATCTATAATGGGAATAATATGGACAAAAACTATCAAACTCCACTGATGAATTGATAACCAAAATAGAAATCAGCTTTATAGAAAAAGAGCTCTATTGATTGAGTTTCTTATGTAATACTAAATGCATGGATACATTCGGAACAATATACAATAGACAATTTTTCTTTTTGGACAAACATATTAGGACAACTTTTTGATAAACCCTTTTTTTTTCGTTATAATAAGTATAATAGTCGTTATGGCTTAGCAATGAATATTTATAAGAGAAATCATATAAATATCCATCGTCAATAAGCGTACATTTAATATATATTTTTGTACAACCACCAGACTTTCAAAACACCCAAAGGTTAAATCACGATTTTTTTACAATACTTTTATTTTAGGCAAAATAGCACTCGACACCAATTCGAAAAGGAGGGAAAAGCCAAAAATATATCACAATCACATAAATAATAAGTTCATCATGAACCACGTCTTGTAATAATCTCAAAATTTGATTCACCTCCGGAAGAACACAAAACTCAATCAATTAATATAAAAATCATCACATTCCAATTCTTTGTCCTTCGATATATTCTGATTGGCTTGGTCGTTTTCGTATTCTACAAAATCGTCAAACAAACTCGGCCAAGCCTCATTGTCATCGTAGCAACTCAGGTCATTGCCGACGTGATCTGCAAAATTCAAAAACATATTCCAAGTGTCTTTGGGTACACCCCTAATCATGGGGTGAGTTTCTAGAAAATTCAGCCATCTTTTCAGTATGGGAGGTTCCCTGACAGTGAACACAAGTTTCCATAAAATCGTCGCCATGCTAGTAGGCAATATTCTCTGACCCGATTGTACGTCGAGGCCGAATTTAAACGCAAACCTATAAAACTCAAACAAATTAACACCAAAACCAAATAAGTATTTATAAATTTATTTACCTATATAAGTCCTTATATAATTCGTCATTTTGTTCTAGTTCTTGCACTAATTCCGGCAGTCTATTTTGTATGGCTTTAACGGAGTCGCATTTAATAGACTTCAGTCCGTTTACGAATTCCGATCGGGTGAATCTGCACATTTGGGCGGCGTTTAATTTCCAAGCGAGTATCAGGATTTTGAAGTCGTCTGGAGGGATGTTCAGGTCCTTACAAAACTGATCTATACCTTCTGCCAAGATGCACTCGTCGTTTTCGTCTTTGTAGTGATCAAAGAGAATGTTAAGCTGAAAAAAAAAATGAATGATTTAAATAAGTGTTACAAATCACAATGGACTAATAAAAATTATTATTGTTACCTTTAAATCAGAAGGTTTACTGTCACCTGAACCCATGGCAGGTGCCGATCTTGTGGTGGTTCTTCTGCTTGGTGGATAGAAGCGACTGATGGTAGTAGCAGGGACGCCCTCTGTGGGTGGTGTACCAAGATGGTTTCCTTAATAGAAAATACAAAGTTACATTTGGTAGTGTGCTATTTAGGTGAATATAAAAGTTGGGCTTTAAGATGAGAATTTAAATCCTAACTCCTAGACAAATGTTGTTGAAATCCAATATTACAAATTCTGTTAAAATGAGCTACTCACTTTCCTCTTTCTCCTGGAAAAATTTCAAAATTTTCCTTTCTCCAGTTTTCCAGAAAAAAATTAAAATGTAAGAGATAATTTTTTTTTAATTTTGCATGAAAAAGTCAATTTTCCAGGATTTTCCTATAATGAACTCCTCAGTTTCCTCTTTCTCCTGTAAAAATTTCACAATTTTCCCTTTGCCAATTTTCCAGAAAAATATTAAAAATTTAGGAGGGTGAATTTTTCTAAATTTTGCTTAAAAAAGTCAATTTTCCAGAATTTTTCCTGGAGTGATTTTTTACTGGAAAATTTTCAAAATTTTTCCTTTGCCAGTTTTCCAAAAAAAAAAAATTTTACAAAAGGCTGCATTTAATTTAAAGAAAACTGGAAAGTCTTGGAAAATTTAAGGAAAAAAGTTGGTTTCGGGACTTTTTGGGATCCCCTCTACAAAATGGATATCTTGAAATTTCGAAATTTAGACTTTGGTTTTTGGCCCTATACCTACAACACAGGAAATTCTGGAAATGACGAAAATAACAACTTCAACCGGTTATAGCTCCATAACGATGAGTCCTAGAGGAAAACTCTTCAAAAGCAAATTGTAGAGCTCATCCAGATCTACAAAAAAGCTTATCGAGTCTATACCCCACAAAATGGAAAATCGAAATTTTCCGAATTTTGGAAAAACAAAAATTCCATCATATAGAGGAGGTTAAAACAAGCAGAAAAGCTATTTGGCATTTTCCCGTAGGACGTCTCCTAAGCCTAAAAAAAAAATTAAAAAGAAAATCCATAAGGAAGGCTTTTCCAGACTGACAAGCTCCTATTAAATCTGTCATAACTCTGAAACGCCTGGACCGATTTCAATGAATTATGTTTCATTCGATAGAGGATTAAATTGCCTACAAGATGACTTCAGATTTATCCCGTTTTCAAGTTATGAGCCTTCAAAGTTGAAATTACCTCATATTTTCAAATTTAATGAAAAAAGTATATTTCTTAGTGAAAATTTTCAATAAAAAATCGATTTATTAGATCGTTGAGATTCCTTTTATAATGTTATTAAAGAAAGAAATTGCAAATATCCATTTTGATTTTTTGAGGGAATTTTTTCATTAAGGTTTGGTCCATGTTTTTTGGATTTTGAAATTTCAAACAGCCATAACTTGAAAATTATGAGTCGTAGAGAAAAACTTTTCATATGAAAATTGTAGCTCTCAATGTATACTACAAAATTGCTCTTTGAGTTTTTCCTCTACGACTTACCGTTTTTGAGTTTGATCAGTGATTGCCAAATATGGAAATCATTGTACATTTGCAGGCATAATGGTTGACCTTTCGTTTTTGGCCTTATACAGGGTAGATATGAATTGGTCTTCAAAGGCATGTTTAATTATGTATATGTTGAAATTAGCTTTCTCAATTATTTTAAATATGTGATTCTCCCACTTCAAGTCAGTTGTAACTACAACTCCCAGCTCATTTTGTTCATTTACTGATGTCAAAGCAGAGTCATTAAGAATATAGTCTTTGCTTGGAATATTTGGGCCTATACTGAGTAATGTGCCTTTTGAAGCCAATTTCATTCTCCCCGTTTTTGACCACTCTGCAATGTTCAGTTTGAAGTAAATCCGCATTAAGCAGAGAATTTGCATAGCTTTTGCAAACAATTTAACACTCAATTAGATTAGTTCCACCAAATCAAAAAGATACACTGTGAACAGTACCGGACCGATCACCGAAACCTGCAGGACGTCACTGGTTGACCTATGGAGACTGGAAAGCTCTCCATTAAATCTCACTTGAAAAAATCTATATTCTAGCAGATCCTTGATCAAGGCCAGCAACTTTCCTCTAACTTCAAAGTGCTCCAGTTTTGCTAATAACAGGTTATGTGAGACGTGGGACTTTGTCGAATGCTTTTTCATAATCTAGATAGATAACATATGTTGGTAGATTGTCCAATTATTTAGACACTCCAAAAGATTGGTATTGGTAGAAATTTTGATCTCCTTTTTTGTACAGTGGCACGGCAATCAAATATTTCCAAGGTGCTGGAATTTTTGTTTGATCCATACAAGCAATGGGCTAATTGTGGCACTACAGTTCTGAAGAAAAACTATTGGGATTTCATCAGGTCCTGGGCTTGAGGCATTTTTCATACATTGAGCTTGTTCTAGATTCAAGATTCAATAAGCTTTATTGTCGAAAAAATACAAGTTCTTGGTTAAAAACAGTCAGAAAACCAATGAAATTCACTCTGACTGGTTTGTGATTTCTGCAGAAACAGACCTATTGTCATGTTGGGCTGGAACTAGATAAGCCTCAGTTGTAAAAGCTGTGTCAAATTGCTCCGAAAATTTCTCTGCCATGCGGCTACACATCCAAAAACCGCTCAGATGCAAAATATTTTTAAGTTATGGTTGATACCTTGGAATTCAAGTTTCGACTTACATACTTGAACAGAACAGTTTTTCTGATAAATCTGCATTTACAAGACCATTTTCATACTTAGGGAAGATTTTGATTGAAAAAAAGTAAAAATAGTGGAAAATGTAGATGAAATGCAATTTTATCCCCAGAAAATCATGTCACTCTTCACAAATTAGAGAAGCTCTAAGCAATATTATTTCTGAATCAGCTGGTACTGGCCTTTTCGAAAGTTATGGCTTTTTTAAATGTGCAAGATCAGAATTCAAAATCCATATACCTGTTTGCAGTACATTTTCATGTTATTTGGCTAATACGTATTTTAAACTCTCAATTTTATTTAAATTTTCAATATTATCTGGTGAAAGATTATGAATATTAATTCCATTAAGAGTGATTGATCTTTCTACCAGAATTTGACATAATAGCTTTGTCGGAGATCTAAGTGCTTGATAATCTATATAGACAGATTTCAAATTGACAAGTATATTGTCTTCTACAATGGCCGAGTTCGTTTTTATCATCTTTTTCGTCGATTTGCTCCGAAATCTTGTCAGGCACGTGATTAGATCAGACAGTTTCAATTTACAAATCACGTGCCTGTCAAAATTTCGGAGCAAATCGACGAAAAATATGACAAAAACGAACTCGGCCAATGAAAGTAAGGTCAACAGGTGTGACGGGACTATAATTTACGCTAAAAATGATCTGGTCAAAATGACATAATCCAAAATTTAAATTCTGTAATATTGATATTTGATAAGCAGCATCTCTGATCACTACCCAGTTTTGTTGAATTTATAATTAAAACCTCAAAAAATGAAACCTAGTCATAACCCACAAAAAAATTAAGTTCCAAAAAAAAAATTGAATGAGCAGCAGTTGACTCTGACATTAAAAAATGAAAATTGGCAAGACATTTTGCAGATCCATGACCCTAATTACAGTGCCCGATAATTTGTACCATGTACCACTACTAAAAAACTAAAATCAAAATTTAAGGCTATTAAACCTTGGATAACCCAAGGCCAAGAAACGGGATAAGCTCAAAACAATTGCATCCAGTGGCCCATATAAACCTGACTTACTAAACAATTACAGAAACTATAGAAACTTTTTGACTAAACTTACAAAAAAAAGCTAAAACGATGTATTATAAAAGATCTATTGCTGAGAACATAGAGAACCCGAGAAAGTTATGGCAATTTATAAGAGAAGTTACAAACCACAATAAATGTAAAAATACTGTTAAGGCAATTAAATCAGACATGGGTCAGGTGATTACGGATGATAGACTAATGGCTGAAAAGCTAATGAAAAAAATGAATTTTTCAGCTCGGTAGGTGAGAAGTTGTCAAAAAAGATTGTTACCCCCTAAACTCTGTCCAACGAACCTACAGAGTCTGACAGAGTCAAAATACTGGCCAGGTTCACACTGAACACTGATTTATGCCATTTATTTATTTCAAAATCTTACAAAACATCACTCTACAGTGTAAAGCGGGCTGATAAATGACCAATAGTAACGAACCTTAGAGCAGGTAAAGCGCTGTCCTACGGACAAGAGGAGTAGGAACGCGTCATTCTGCTTATGAAACTAAAGTGAAGCCAAGTTCCATAACAGATAATGAATTGATAATGGAAATAAATTCCCTGAAGAATGGAGCTGCCGGGGGTGAGGATGATATCGTGGCGTTTTCCCTGGAGTTTTCAAAAATGCAATAATCATACCAATACATAAATCAGCGGTCAAAACTTAGATAAACAACTATAGACCCATAGCCCTTAGAAGCATGATAAACAAAATCATTGAAAAGTGCATCAAGCTGAGGCTATGTCATTTTTTGGTGATTGACTCCAGAAAATTTTTCCAGAGAATCAAGAGCTGGTCATAGTTCAAGTTTTGATTATCTGTAGTTCTTGATTCATTGGATAATTTTTCTAGATTCAATTAGAAGCTGCGGAAAAAGAAATTTTGAAGAATATCAACTGAACAGTTAGAACAATAGAAAACTCATCCTGTGTAAATTTTTTCCGCCATATTTGGGGCCTCGCTTTCGAAAGCGAGGACCCATCGAGGCAAATTTGGGATTTCTTTCAGCAATGTTACCGCTTTGCCGTCGACCATAGGGTTGTCGGCATAGAGTTGTCGGTTGAAGAAAGCTTATTTAATTATCGTAATATATAATTTAGGTAAGGTTTCACCAGGGTTCATACTTGACCTTGAAACTTGAAAAAAAAAGGGTTGCCGTAGATTAATTCATATGACACATTCAATTTTTTTGACAAATTAAAATGATTTAAGAACCGACGAACGTTTTTGACGTCATTGATTTGTTTCAGTCAATTTTGATTTGTTAAACAAACCCTGGCGAAACAAACTTTATTTCTATTTTATTTGGTTACTGGTTCGCAATGTCAAATTGTATTGTACAAGGGCCACCGACCACATACCTATCATGGATAAAAATAGGGAAATGGAATGATTTAATTGTAAAAAATTCTATTTATAATAATAAAAAATTAAAAGATATAAAACACTACTAGTTAAAAAGGATCAAAGAATACCAGATTCAAATAATTTCTTATGTGATTTTACAGTGTATGAGAATTCAAAAACAATAATAATCATCAGGGAAGGCTTGTAAGGGTCGCAAATGTAGGTACATACGTTTGCATTTATGCAAATATGGATTTAATGTAATTGTAATTATTGTCATTCCAATTGTTAAATTATACCACAGTTATTTTAGGTACCTGTTTCTTTTCAACCTGATTTTTTTTCTAATAAAGAGCTTCTATGGGAATTATAAGAATATGTGAATATTAATTTCTCTCTCTTTAAAATAATATTTAGTAAAAATAAACCTGGAAATAAACACTTTCCTAGTGAACAACTGTTCAGGATGGCAAGAATATTCGACATACGACAACTCTATTTTTTAAATCTATGTATTAATATTTATAAATAAACAATATAACTCTACAATCTGTAAGCCATGAAAAAAATACCAGATTTCAGAAAAATTGCTTGGTGGTCGCAATGAGTCGAAAACAAATAGGTCATAAGTCAATTAATTTTTTAGCATCAAGATTTTATAAATAAGAAATAATATAAATTTTTATAAGTTAAGTAGGATTATATCTATTTGAAAAGTGAATCATAAGTTAACCCAGATTGTGAAAAATTCAAGAAATGTGACAATACCTATACCCGAAAGTGACTAAAAAACCCAAAAAGTGACTGATGACCGTTTGCACCGACTATTTTAAGGAAGCCTTAGCGATAAGTATTTCTTAAAATGACATTTTTACATGCAGAAGTGTCACTTTACAGAATACTTATCGTTAAGGTTTCCTTAAAATGGTCGGTGCAAACGGCCATGAAAACCCTGAAAAGTCACAAATACCAGAATGTGACATTGTATTTTACATTGTATTTTTTCTCGGATTGTAATATACTATAAATAGTCGATATATTAATGGTAATAATAATAATGATAACTAATGCCTCTATTTTTTTCATTGGTAGGTATAACCAAAGAATATTTAATATATGTTGTTTTTCGGGATCAATTTTATGCCTATATCAACAAAATCAAGCCATAATCAAGGACATTAATAATAATTATAAAGTATCTACTATCAATAACGTATGAAACTATAAATTTTGAAGCATAAGTGCGTTACATATTTCGCCGGTAAATTCTAAAGCATTTGGCAACGCTGCCCTCACATAACGCTCTAAAACTAAAAATTTATTTGTAATGCGGTCGGAATTTCACTACACTAGCGCCACCTTGCAGGCGACGACCCCTCGTAAGCATAAGTTTTCTATTGAATTAGCTATAATATTCTTTGCTAATGATCATTCGAAATTTTGATTATCATTGGCGCCTGAGCTTTGAATGCCCTTAGAAATATTCTCTAGTGAATCCAGAATTGATAAAAGTTCAAATTTTGACTATTACTGGCTCTTGATTGGCTTTAGGAAGATTTTTCAAAGAATCAAAAGCTGGTACCTAATAGTTCAAATTTTGATTATCTGTGGCTTTTGATCCATTGGATAACTTTTCTTGAGCCAGTTAAAAGCTGTGCTCGGGCCCCTAAGCATCACTTACATCTGCTTAGGCATATTGCAACTACTGGGTCCGACGATAAAATAGGTACAACATTCAACTGAATATCTGTAATTATGTCAACACTCAACTGTAACAGTTTTTGTATCTTTACATTTACGAAATCCATATTGATTTTTAAAGAAAACCTACATTTCACTTTTCTAAAAATGATAATAATCTTTTATGCATTAATCTTTCTAAAACTCTAGAAAATATTGGTACAAATAATGATCTGTAATTACTTGGGTTATTTTTATTCCCCATTTCAAATATGTACTGGGGTGGTTTTTGATATTCTCAATAGCCAGCCACACACGAAAATTTCGGCGCGCAAGTTTGAAGTGTGCTGTTCCAAAAGTCGCAAGAGAAGTGTTAGTTAGTGGAGTGTCACGATAACAGGTTTTGCGCGTTCTTACAAGTTTAGCGCGCAAATCGCACGTGCAAGAGTTAATTGCACATAAACGTAGACTCTTGTTATTTTTCTGGAATTTCAAATTTATTTTCGATATGGGTGACAGTCGGAAAGTACCTAAGTATGATATTTAATAGAAATTACCATAGACTATTGGATTAGGTTTCATTAATTAAGCAAATAACCCTTAAAATGTAAAGGGAACTCAAGGCAAATTGAAAAAAAAATATATAGGTATTGTACCTACACCATTTCCAGCGTTGCCAACTTAGCGGATTTCCCGTCATATCTAACGGATTTTGGTGGAGGGAAACGGAAAACAAACATTTTCAACGGATGACGGATTTTTTAACGGGAACAAAGTTTCCGTTTAAAAATTCTAAATTATGTTCTGTAAATGTATTGAACTAGTTATTTAGCGATTCAAGCTACTTTTGGTCTGTAAACAAGCCTTTAACGGAAACGTTGATCCGGCTAGCCCGATCACCAGCTGATATTATCTGTCTTTTTTCAATGGTGTTCACTGAAAAAAGATAAAATACAAACACTGAGGCGTTTTCTCGCGTTCACTTTTTTGAAACTGGTTCAAAACTGTTTTGAAACAGTACATTCTCGCGATAAACCCATGACAACACGTCAAAATTGGTTCAAATTGTTTCGAAATGCAATCTAATCCACATTTTCAAACCATTTTCTCACGCCGAGAAATTATGACGTCATGGTGACATTACTTAAACCAGTTTTGAAAAATGTTTTGAAACATTTGAGACGCGAGAAAATGCCTCTGTGATCGGGTGAAACGGATCAGTGTTTTTAAAAACGCCTAAAATCAAATAGCACTATCGTCAATGTCGTTAACTCTGCATTATTTGGTTGGCACTACTGAATAAATTTTATTTGTTTAGCGCATTTCGCATGTTTCATTCTGACGGATTTTATTGACGGAAAAAAAAATGGATTAACGGATTTTTGACGGAAATCTACAGCAAAGTTGACGGAATTGAAAAAATACTGTTGGCAACACTGACCATTTCCAAATGCAAGTGGCAGTAAATGACATAACCTAAATTTTAAACAAACGCCAGCCTTCCTATTGGTTGAAACGTCCTACCTGGACTAGTGCGCATGCACGGAGGACATTTGATAGGTTGTAATGAAAATTACCAGTTATGTCATTTACTGCCACTTGGATTTGGTTCAACCATAGGTATAACATTTATAATTTTATCGCCTATATAATAGAGTTGATTCATTCACAAAAAAAGTTTAATTTATTGAAAAGGTGGTATATGACCATATATTGCCCTTTCTTCCAACCATTTTTTTGACCAAGTGGATCGTTTTTTCTTTTTTTGACTTATTTGTAAAGAATATGCATACAGCATAGCACATGCAATAACTTTTCTTTTTTTTTTAATGAGTGAAACATAATTAGGTACTAGTGAATTTACAAATTCACACACTCTTAGCAAAACTGTTAGAATTTCTAAAATGCCAGATGCCGTTCCAAATATTTCCGATTTAAGACACTTCTAACCCATTAACGAAACACTTTGGAACGTCAGACTAAAATCTGTAGGCTAAACCCGCATGTATTTTTTGAACGCTTGTGGACAAAGACGCTCATATGCGTGCCGTTCCAAGCATCTACATCCGGAACGTCGCGCATCTACGCGCGTTATAAACTTTTCGTGTGTGGCTGGCTAATAGGTGTTTGGAAAAATTCAATTTCTGAAAGACAGATATGCCAAATAAATATTTCAAAGTTGGAATTATTTCAATCTTGATTTGTTTTTATAATTTTTACTGATATTGTGTTATGTTATAACAATTAGGTTTATTCGATCCCAAATTGGTAATTTTTTGATCAATTCCACTGTCCTCAGTCTCTTCATTCAGGATCCCTAACTTCCAGTCAGTTTGGGTTGTTTTATTGTTAAACGAATACTGTTATGGGATAGATTTTGATTGAAAGAAAGTAAAAATCCCCAGAAAATATTATTGAAAAGCAATATTGCAGTCTGCACCCGCATACTTAGGACAGTTTCTCCAGATATTTCAATGGAAAAAAAACACATTTGGAACAAATTTAGACTATTTCTCGTTTTGAATGCAAATTTAGACCAAAAATATATTATCAAATGAAGCTGTAAGTATGATTATTTGCTCCTATTAAGGTGGTTTTATGGGTCAATTTGATTGATTATTGCCTCAATTCTTTCCAGAATTTTATATACAAAATGAGTAGAACAAAGTTGAAGTACTAAGTATGTACTACCCTTATAAAAGGAATATTTTCTTACCGTTACTCAAAAGTGTTTCAAGTGGCGCTGAGGATGCAGGAGCATGGCTTGGAGCTGGATAAAGTCGGGCCTCCGGCATTTCTAAATTGAAATAAAAAGAAGTTTTGTATATTTCAAACAGTAATTAATAAGTGCGTTCTATTGTGATTTGGAAGTTAAACATTGGATATAAAGAAGGGGTTGGCAGGATATATATCAGCGATAAATATCCTGATATATATCTTGATGATGATATTTATGCTATAAATATCATGATATATATCAATATTATTTGTATGGCTTTTTTTTATGTTGAGAAGTAGTATATTTATGAGAAGGAAATCACAGGGATCTCGGCCAAAACAGTCTATATTATGTCAATTATCAATTATTAGGTCTGTTTCCGCAGAAATCACAAACCAGTCAGAGTGAATTTTATAGGTTGAAACTAGTTTTCTGACTGATTTGTGATTTCTGCAGAAACAGACCTATTATTTTATTGATTTTCATCTACGTACTATAAGAAATATCAAGTTTTTTAGGGCAAGTATTATGAAACTATTTTGACAGTTAACTAAATGTTAACTTCTGGAGTTACTATGAGAAATACTGTCATTCCAGAAGTTAACTTCTAGTTATTCTGTCAAAATAGTTTTAAAATACCCGCCCTAAGTTGTAATTTTTTTTGTTGCTGAATCACGGCTTAAGGCAAACAAATAATCGAGCAAATAATATTTATTTATTTATTTATTTATTTATTATACGGGATAACCCCATTAACAGCAAAATTACAACAAAAAATAATAAATTGGTTAGGTATATACATTATAAAACCTGCAGCAAGTAAGCGTTAACACTAAGAGAAAAACAAGAAACAACAAAATTTAAACTTAACGAAAAACAATCTAAGCTACCCAGAAAAGAAAAAAAATATATACACATACTTAAGGAGAAAAAAAAAAAACAAAAATAAAATAGATTAACTATCAATCAACAAAAACAAAATTAATTAAAGTAATACTGCTCCACACCATTATTTTCATAACAAAACTGCCCTTTTAAAAATCCCTATCGATACATTAAAGACATCAATATCATGACAATTAATTAAAGACATATACCTATGTAAAGGGCTGTTAACCCCATATGTTGTCCTATGGAAAGGAATATGGAACACATTATTGTTGCGTAGACCCTGATAATATGGTACATTTAAACCTACATAATTCAAGAGATCTGGGCTGTCAATCAAGCCATTTACAATTTTATAAATAAAAACGGCACCAAACACATCACGGCGATTTCCCAAAGGACTTAGGGATAGTTGACGCTCAATATTATTAATATAATATAAATGACATAAATGTTTTCATATTCGTAAACTCAAATTTTTATTTACATACTACACTCTACATTCCTATAGTCAGATATGTATAAGAAATAGGAGCACAAAACTTGTTATCGCCTACCAACTTTGCATGTTTGTAACATTTTATTAAATTTACCATAAAGTTATTTTGAATTTTTAAAATATAGATAACAGAAAACAGATGAACTAATTCAAGTAATTACAAATATAAATAAATATCCAAATTTTGATATATATCCGATATATATCGGATAATTGGATATTTATATAAATATTATGATATTTGCCAACCCTGATATAAAGGTACTCAAATGGTTTCATTTAAAATTTTGGATATAAGTATTACAGTTACCTTCTTTGTTACAATTCTGAGCTGCAGAATCTGGGGCCGAATGTTCTGGCGCCTTGCAGCAGTTCAAGCAATTTCCCATTGGAGGGCCCCAAACCTATCCTTTCAGGCTTCTCCCTTAATGTTATTTGCATTTCCCTAAAAGACAATCAATTTTTAAAAAAACTAAAATACAACTGACCTAAAAATATACTTAATTGTTTAACAAGTTTCTTTTATTATACTGAATACTCAACCAAAAAGGAATGAATGAACAGACATGATGCAATATCCTGGAAGAAATTTTCACAAGTTCGAACAAGTCTGTGCAGTGAACTATTTCTTTTCCAACAAAAGTAAACATTCAATTCGGATTGCAATCAAAACAAACAGGTCAAAGTATAAGCTAGTTTTAATGAGTACCCAATAAACAAAAAATTATTTTTACCTTATCAATCAATGATACTATACAAAGATTTATGTTGCATTTAGAAACCTAAAATTGCAATACAATCTTTGAATTTTCGAAATAATATAAGGTGCACTCTCCAGTTTCTACAGGCGATTTTTTCCATTTTCCAATATTACTCGTTAACAATTTGTTTGCCGCATTTTAGCACTGGAACAAGGTTCACTTTGTTTTACATTTTTTTTTTTTGACGACGGGAAATTTTGTTAATAGAATTAATTAATTGGAAAAACAACACCAACCAAAATACACTTGTGTGGTTGTGTGTCCCCCACTCCTGCGCTGCGGCTCTGACATTGACAGTAGAATGACCATGACGGTTAGTAATGGAAGGGACATCGATGTATCGTGAATTCGTGAACATCGATGTTAGTTAGGGCCGGTTTTTCATTAGTTGTATTATGGCGTTCCGATTGGTAGATCTAGTGCGGAACTAGTGCAATTTTTTCTATTTCTGTCTTTTTCTTCTACAGTTCGATTAAAAGGATGCAAATACACTCAGTGCGCACTGAATCTACCAATCGGAAACGCCATTAGTTTCACATTTAGGAGGAGCTCCGGAACAGCTGTGGGGCGTTACGCGCTAATTCCTTTCGAAAAGTGTTTGTTGCACCACGCATCTCTTCCTTTAAAATCAGGGTCGACTAACACCGGAGCAAGTAGCTCGAGTGTTCCAAACTCTTGAAAGGAATACAACTAATAGCATGTCACCCCCGGTTTAAATCTAACTCTAGAGCACCCTGGAGTTACAATCTTGCCAGAGGTCACTCGCTATCGAGAAACCGGCCCTTATTAGTAATTTTGCAAAATCCTTATCAAGACATATCGATATGACGAATCCGTATCAAGTATCAATAGGGGAATATATCGATAAGCCCGTCTCTACATTCTCTACCGCGGATTTAAGGCGATTTCGGCAAGCTTTGGTTGGTAATGGTATACCATTTGGTTAACCAATTAGTACCTGCAACGTTATAGTAATGACGTAGGACACCATTTGGTTCCAAATTCGTTTAGTACCTAGAGCAGGTAAAGCGCTGTCCTACTGATAAGGACAGATTTGAAAAAGAGTGGCCAACGGGAAAGGGCCAGATCTGGCCATATGGGGCCACCTGTGGCAACACTGCTATCAGCAGTGTCTAGACAGTATCATACTACTGCCTACGACACAACTGGTAATTTAGCAGGGTGGAGGGGGGGATTTATTACACAGGCCTTATGAGGATAGGTCATCCTGTAGTAGTAGTCAAGGAGAATACACACTCTAAGAAGTGTGTATCGCCACGCTTGGTATCGCCTCGTTTTTGGTAATCGCCGCCATATTGCAGTGGCGGCTCTTCCTTAGGTTTGCAGGTTTGCGCAACCCCCAAAACAAAACTTAAAAAATATAAAACAAAAATAGTAGAACTAAATTTTAGTACCTAATTATATTTAAAAAATAAATTATACCAAAATTTGGGACCTACATAATACGCAGTCAATTAATAAAATAATTTCACCAACTTCGCCAAAATATCAATAACTGACAGGCCGCCAGCGACTTCGAGTAGCGGCGTCGAGTCGCTGGATTGCAGCTCCAAAGCAAACCGATCTATTATATGACGGCGCACATTTGGTTGCCTGTCTTTGCGTGGATTCAAAATCCGCTCCATAAGCTCCAGCAGGTTGCAAGCTAAGTGCAAACTTTGTTTTTTTTTTTTTGCTCGCAGCGCAGATTAGGTTTGTTTTGTGAAGTTTTGTCGTGTGGGGGTGAAAAAAAAAAGAATTCTGTTCAAAATTTAATTGCCGAGCCACTCTGTGGGCGTTCATCAACCGATAAGGCTGAAATAAAAAGACTTTGAAGGCCTACTCCAAATTTAAAAATTGAACAAACTGTAACTAGCAAAAAAAGGACTTTCACCATGACATTTATTCTGGACCTTCACGAAAAACATGCATGATTGTACAATTGAAATTGCAACCCCCACATTTTTAATATACGAGCCGCCACTGCCATATTGGTGTGTCACCATTTCCGACGTAATAATTAAGTCATCAGCTGTTTAAACGGCCTACGTCAAAGCAAGAAATAACATGCTGCCACGTCACAACTGGTGATTTTGCACCGGTGGGGAAGGGGAAGATTTGTTCCACGCCTTATGAGGATAGGCTATCCTGTAGTAGTAGTGTGTGTGTATCATCTTTGAGTAGTAGTGTGCATCATCCTTGCCTTTGAGTAACCAAGGCTGTTCATTTGTACTTGCTCTACCGCTGCTCAAAAAATCAGAAAGATCTGTTAGGAGCTGCTATTTATGAGCTTATATATGGGACAAGTGAACGCCGATCTGCTGCTAAGATCTGCTTGAAGCAAGAAAAGCAGTACAAATGTCAAATGAACACCCTATATTAGGTGCGTACGATAAGTCCGACTACTGACACTTTTTTCCCTGATATGTCATTAATATCGCACTTTTTACACCATTCGTACAGTTTAGCGAAAATTTTCCCAGTGTAGTTAGATGGTTGCGTTCCAAAACATAACTGCACCGCACTAACGCTAACCGGTTCAGACAAATCGTACGCAGCAATTAGACTATCCAAGATGCTGTCAAACTTGAATTGAAATGTCCGCTAAGAGGCTCCCACACAAACCCTTTGTTTGCTTGTCGAAGTCCCGTGTTTTCAACCGAATTTTTGCGACAAATGTAGTTTATCTAAGAACGAACCTTAGTTCGTCTTGTGACGTCATGAGTTTGAACGCTGGCTAGAAGCTGCGTCCATGCTTCCGGCAAACTACATTCAATATGACGTCACGAGTTTCTCGCGAAAGCGTTTGTCTTTCTGAAATCATGGAAGTAGTTCGTCGCGAAAATTCGGTTTTGGATAGGCTAATTGGCTAGCTCAGGGTTGCGTTTAGAAATAGAACTCTAGAGAGTGACTCTGAAGTAACTCTAAACCGTTCATAAATTAACAGGTGCTTACTCGGAGAGTTGCTGGAATGGTTAAGAAATCAAGAGTTGACATGCTCAGAGTGCGCCCAAATCACCCCACTCAGGGACTGGGTTGAAAAATGCCCCCCGGTTTTTACCAAGTATGACGTGATTTCAAGAGTGCGTTGGAAGTCGCCCTAGTCACCCTAGTGCACACTGGCCATGAATTATTCATGGCTGGTGTGCACTCGGTGTGACGTCCAGGGTGATTTCGAACGCACTCCAGGGTCACTTTCATTCAAGGATGATACACACCTACAAGGATTGCTTCAATCTCGTTTTTGGTAATCGCCGCCATATTGGTGTGTTACCATTTCCGACGTCATAACTACATTTTCAGCTGTTTAAACAGTCTACGTCAAGACGAGAAATAACATGCTGCCCACGTCACAACTGGTAATTTGGTTTCAGGTAGAAAGGGGAGGAATTGTTACACACAGGCCTTATGAGGATAGGCTTTCCTGTAGTAGTAGTGTGTGTGTGTCTCGATTTTCATTATGAATATTCTTGACATTTACCACAACGCCCTAATGCCTCCTCACTTGCGCGAAATTCGCTCTTTTTTTGACATGCTTCGACAAACGCCATTTTTTTTGAAGTAATGTCGAAAAAGAGCGAATTTCGCGCAAGTGAGAATGAGGCATATTACGTTCAGAAATTAGCGCGCCCAGAGTGCATTTCAAGTAATGACGTCAGAACACTGACAAACAACTACTCTACCTCCACATTTCACACTCCATTTCTAAACGCACTCCAACGTTTTCTATAGGTCTGTTTCTGCAGAAATCACAAACCAGTCAGAGCGAATTTCATTGGTTGAAACTAGTTTTCTGAATGTTTCTGACTGTTTTCAACCAATGAAATTCGCTCTGACTGGTTGGTGATTTCTGCAGAAACAGACCTTATATAAAGCTTATTCTACAGTGACTGCTTATTCGAAGTGTGTATTGTATCATCCCTAACTGTAAAGCAGAGGGTACAGTGGCAAATAAACCTTTACATACAGTGGCAGTGGCGACAATAGAGGTCCCACCGCCATTTCATGCTCAACCTCTTGCTACTTTTAAATATGATTATAAAGGATTTAAATGCACATCTATCATGAAAAATTAAAAGTAGCACGAGGATGGACAAAAAATGGCGGCGTATTCCATATGACTATTATAGGATTTTAAAGAACTAATCAAAAAGAAGACGGCAATTGTAGCCATTGTGGTAATGGAGTTATAATCGCCGCCATATTGGTATGTCACTGTCATTTTTATTTCCATATTACTGACAAAGACAGAGCAATCGTTCTCTTGAGTACGCTGGGGACAGTTTGGGGAATAAGGACCCCGCTCACATCACATTCCTTTGGAGTATCAGATTAAAATCGACGGACGTCTATTGCTACTCCACAACTGGTGATTTGGCGTGGCATGGGGGGGGAAGGGGGGATTTGTTCCACACAGGCCTTATGGGGATAAGCGTCAGGCGATCCTGTAGTAGTGGTGAGCTGCTTTCCAGTGCCTAAATTGTTAGAGTATCATGCTCCTGGAGTGTGACGCTGTGAAACTGTTCGACATAAGCAGCACTGGAACGCTCTCGTCTTAACCCCTACCATTTCGGACTTCAGGAACATGGAACACCGAAATAAAGGTTGGTGCACGAGGAGGCAGGGGATAACAGAAATGAGTAGTTCAAGTGTACGACACTCTACGTACTGGAACGCGCAAAGCAATTGTGTAGCACTCTTGAGCTGCTCAGGAGTAACTCAAATGGGTCACTGGAAAGCACTTGTGGGTATCATCCTTGGTGTGTATCATCTTTGCCAAAAGCTTGGCACTTCCCAAATTTCGCCGATAAATTGCCCCCTTATATAAACCGGTAGCTGTCAAAAAATTCTGGTGAAAGTTAGGTGTAAGTCCGGTTACAAGATTTTTCTGATGTATTTCGAACGTTTGTGGCCGGTTTCTCAATAGCGAGTCACCCCCAGGGTAAAGCATAACTCCAGAGTAAATGTTGCAACTGGACACGTTTACCCTAAAACCAACCCAGAGGTGACTCGCTATTGAGAAACTGGCCTTCAGTGTATTAAAGTTTGGTTGTGTTGCAACAATTAAACGAACGACTGCCGAAAGTTCTCATTAATTGATGTACCATCGTCACCAAAAGTATCTGGGACACAAACAATGCATAATAATCTCCTGGACTTCTTCTACTGTCATTGTTCTGTGCTGTCATTCATTTCAATGCATTTAAATTCATAGTTTGACAAATATTTGACAATAAAATTCATGTAATAGGACAAGAGCTAATGTGATGCTGTCCCAGTTACTTTTGGTGACGATGGTACGTCAAAAAAAAAGCGTCAAAAAATCTCCAAGCGAAAAAACCGACAAAAATTCCCGGTGAATGTGCCTCACCGGTTTCAAATAGCGGTCACTTCACTTTGGTTTCATAAGCAGAATGGCGCGTTCTTAGTCCTTATGTCCGTAGGACAGCGCTTTACCTGCTTTAAGCAAGGGACGATCTGGTTCAACCGGTAAAAACTCTGTACATTTTGGAACGGTTTGGTTGGTGAGTAAACTAGTAATAAACTATTGAACCGGTATTGCACCGGTTCAAAAACCGGTGAATTTTGGAAAGTGCCTTTATTTGTCCAAATTGACATTTTGTCACTTGTCAGTGTCATATCATTCACTTTCAAAAGTTAACCTAACCTCACCAGTCACAACTCAACTTTGTTTATTTTTATTTTTAATTGAATGATTAAATATATATTAAAACTTTTTGTCATAAAATAAACCCTTTTTTAAAATAGTTTCCACAAGTAAAATGCCCTCAATAGGACTATCATGGATGAACTGCACGAATATATGTTCGAAGGTCCTGGCTTAGGCAAAACCAGTATTTCGGTTTTCATCGCTATATTGTACATGGAACTTTTATATATTCTCACAATGACTTTATACGTTTTAACTAGATATAACGAGCAATAATAATTAGTGATAACATGGACGATTTTTTAAATGTAAGTAGCAGAAATTAATTTGCTACAAAATTTATACTTTTTTTTTTAAGGCTCTATATCTTGATAAACCTTTCCCTTTGTCGTGGGAAGAAGGAGACAATCTTAACGTCACCATATCCAGTGATGTTTTACAATTTTGTGCTAAACCGGACATGCATGCATTGGATTTCTTGTATACCAGATACAGAAGAGGGGTAAATAAGCATTATTATCCATTATAATGCTGTCAGCTGGATTTAGAGTTGCCGTAACGTAAGACAAGACTCATTCCGAGGGGTTTTAAACCTAACAAAATTTGTACACCGATAAACAGTACTAACTGAGATATTTCCATGTATTAACAGATATTTCTATGTACAGTTGCGATCAAAAAAAATTAGTACAATAATTATTAACTCCAATTTGAGCTCCCGGTGTAACATACAAAATTTTGACAGGCAATGGCATATTTTAGGTTGAAAATGTGTGGAAAAATGTCAAAATAATGTCAGCTGAAGCTTTCTAGGTTAAAACATGACGAAAAATGCCAAAAATATGTTATTTCTGGTTATGAATTAAATTAATGTATAATAGACCAAGAGATTTTGGAAATTTTTCTTGTACTACTTTTTTTTGATCGCAACTGTACCTAATAACAAGTTATTGCCAACTATTTCCATGTATTAACAAAATATTTCCACATATTGCCAGGTATTTCCCTAGTATTATCACATATAACCAGGTATTGCCATGCTATTGACAGACTAAAATCAAATATTTGTCTTACCAGAATTCTAGGTATTGACATATCCAGAAATATTTACATGTTATTAATGGGTATCGACCAATGACATTAACATATATTGCCTAGATATCTACAAGTATTGACATAATATATCACCTACATAGTTAACAAGTAGGTATTGCATAGTATTGACACTATTGACATATTCACCTAGTATTGACATATTGATATGACCAGTGATTTATACACCGATTAACAAGGTGAAAAACCTTTCGGTGAATCCTCATTGTGGGGTTTGTGTCGCATCAACCAATTTTCGTAACCCTTAATTGCAGTGGCGCACCCAGAAAAAATGTTTGGGGGGGGGGGCTACATAGGTTGTAGCTTGTGACTGAAAATATAAAAAAATATTTGAGGAGTCAGGCTACCACGCCTGGATATTGTTACACTTTTTAAACGTGAAAATACAGTTTTGGAGGTGCGGCCTGGGGGTGGGGTCCTGGCCCAATAGCAACCCCCCTTGGTGCACCACTGTCTAATTGAAAATTGGCATAATCCGTAGTGCGCATATGGAGCAGGTCCCTGTAGGAGTAGCACTTACAAAATCACTGGGAAAGTCCTTTTTCCATTATTTAGAGGTTGCGCCGCAAAGTGAAGGGTTAGATAAAGAGTATCTCCATTGTTTCAAAACCACATGTGGTATTCCATCAGGCCCTAACTTATTTGGTAGAGACGCCAATTTATCAAACATCGCAGAAACACTAATGATAGGACAATCAATATAGTTGACTAAGACTCATCTATCTAGTGGTGCTGTATTACTATTACCATTAAAATCATCAGCAAATGTCCACATTTGTAGCATCAAATTTATTAAGTACCATACTTTTAGGAATACATATTATTTGATGTATGTTTACTTGTGTTTATTTATTTGTGTATTATTATTATTATATAAGTTTTTACTTTTCAAGTTAGCTCTGAATCGACTGGAATTTTTTACATGTTAAGTCTTACCTTACGGAAACTCTGAACGAGCCTTTATAGGCATTTTTTTTTTTAAATTTTCTTCGACTAATCTCACATCATTCTTTCTAGTTAAGAGGCGTTATTTTAAATCCGGAAGAAGACATTAACACTCACTTGCAAGTATCAACTTTGCTCGGCGCCCTTCATAAAGCTTTAAGTACCAACTTTGTCGTTTTAATTTTGTGTCCGGACAATGCAGTTGTGAAATGGCACTATTATATGACTTTGTGCGGGGGGTTTGAGATTAAAATTATTACAGATGAATATAAAGGTACGTTTACACTGACAATATAACTGCTAGGATTAAATTGGTTTTTATAGTAAATCAAGATGAAATTAATAGAGGAACCATTTTGTTAGTAACATTTTCCAATATAAAATTGGTGGATTTATTGTTGGATATTAATTTTTTTTCTGTGATAATCGATACAATTGATGAGGTGGCTAATAAATTGATTGTGAGGAAACTGCAAGGCAACTTTAACATTGGAGTTACTTTTAGGAATTTCTATGTAAGTTTTGTTTAGGTTAGTTTTAAAATAATTGAAAATTCTTTTACAGACAAATCCTGATCAAAAATTACAATGGAGCGTGCTTAATTGGGCCAATCAAGGATGCGTTGGAAAATTAGCAGATTTTTACGAGTAAGAATTCTTTTATACAATAAATTATTTTTAAACAATTTTTTTTTTAGAATAGACAATGATAATTTCAACAATTTTAGAGATCAGTACAAGGAATGGTGGTTCAGAATAACTTGGCACTATTGTGATTCGTTTGAAAAGCCCTCATTCAAAAATAAGTTTGAGCATAATGAAAAATTAAGAAGTTGGGCTAAGGAATACAATTTATTAAAATACACTTTGGGTGTCACTGTGAGAAAGAAAAGAAAAAAAAAGTTGGAATACGTAAAACCAGATAGTGATAAGGAAATTATTGAATCAAAACGTTTAAAAAATAAAAATACCAAAGAAATTTTTAATGAAGTTGAAAAAAGTGATTCAAATGACACTATTATTTATGGTGAACAAAATAATTCTAATGAAAAAGATATGTTTGACTTAGTAGCAGCAAACAAAGTTGTGATAGAGATTCCCATTATTAATGAAATTGAAAATAACTCAAATGAAAAAGATATGTTTGATTTAGTAGCAGCCAACAATAAGGTTGAGATACCTGAGGAGATTCCCATCATTCAAAAAGATTCTTCTCCAGAAATGGAATCTGAATTATTTTTGAAATCCTTAGCAACACCATTTGATGTTCAAAAAATTGAAATCGCCTCAAACGAAGAATATATAAATAGTATTTTAAAAGGAAATTCAGATACCGATGAAAGCAAAAATACTTCAGAAATAAAGCTGGAAGTGTCCGAAGAAAATATTGATGTAGCAGAAGATATACCATCGGAAAGTGATAATTATTTTAGGAGTATTTTTAGTAGTGAAGATGTGCGAAGTAATACTCAGGTTGAAACTACTAGTGTTCCAATGTCTGATGTAGACGCTTTAGTGGCTGAAGTTATGGAAATGGTACGCGAGTGATTAGTTTATATTTTGTATATAAAATTTCGGTTTATTTTCATATGCATTGTTATTTTATTGTTGCATCTTCTTTATATGGTCTGCTTTAACCCATTAGGGACCACGGATACCGTATGGTATCGCAAAACAGCTGTAGCAAAATCCTCACCCTCCTGACACCATATGAATCCGATCGGCGCGTTCTCGTGGCATTTGAGTCGTCGAAGGCCCACAATCGACTTTTAGTCGCTGTTGGGGTAGTTAACGCGGTTTTTGGTATCATTGTGACCTTGGGTTTGAACTTGGATTTCACACTTGTGTAAAAAAATGGACATTCGATGGGAGTAAGTATATTTTTGTCGTTTGGATAAAATTTAAGGGAATCTAATAGATGTTATTTTATTGTTAAAAGGTGTATTGAATAATTCTACATAATTTTGGTAAAGTTTTGTTGTCAATTGTTGATGTTATAATGCCCAAAAGATCGGTGATACCATATGGTATCCGTGGTCCTTTGGGTGCATAATTATGTCGTCTCTTTATTTGATAAATATCTATCTAACTATGTTATTTTAGGCGAGGTTTTTCGCTTTCTCAAGCATTGGATATGCTTGACGACCATGAAGAAATGCAAGAACAGGTTTTATAACACCGCCAGAAGTCAATGCTGATTCGGATGAAGATTCTGCAGATGATGATGAGGGTGGAATGGTTTACAATCTAACCGGTGACTGATATCTTGAATAACATTACCTTGATTCATGATTTATTTTTTTATCAGGACGCCAGTTACGAGCTGCTGCTGAAATACAGTTAACAAGTAATGACAGAATCACTGGAGTTTCGGAAAATAGCGAGATAAATTTTAAAACAATCCAAAGTCAGTAGGTACTGACTTTTAGAGGCAAAATTATTACTATTTTAGGAGACTCCTAGTGCAATTATAGATGCTTCACAGCAGAGAACTCTAGAGCCAATACCAGAAACCAGTTCTGTGGCACCCGAGGTGGCACCCCACAGGGACTGGATAAACAATCGACTTACAAATAAAAGCAACCCTGTCTGGATAAAAGGTGATTTAGAGCCATCGAGTCGAGTTTTTCCAGAAGCTGATTATTCGCAATACAAAGATATGTCCGCTGTTGAACTTTTTGAAATATTTTTTGATGACGATATCTTCCAGCATTTAACTGACCATACACAACGATATTCCCAGTTCAAAAATCAAGTTGACCCTGGTATCACCAATTCGGAAATTCGTTGTTTTATTGCTATTCTTATTTTGAGTGGGTACAATCATTTTCCTAGCAAAAAATTGTACTGGGACATGAACCATGATGTCCATAACAATATGGTGGCAAATGCTATGAGGAGAAATAGATTTCTTCAAATTCAAAAATTTATTCATATAGCAGACAACACACAAATAAATGGAATGGACAAAGCCTGGAAGATAAGACCCCTAATGGACAAATTGAAACAAAAATTCTTGAAACACTTTCAGCCAGTCAAAAACTTATCATTTGATGAGTCAATGGTAAAATATTACGGGCGCCACAGATGCAAGCAGTTCATCCGTGGCAAACCCATTCGTTTTGGCTACAAAATGTGGAGCCTTAACACAAATGATGGTTATCTCGTAAATTTTGACCTATACCAGGGAAAAGATCCTCGCGGTGATGCAGACTTTGAAAAATAGTTTGGAAAATGTTCATCTCCTCTGGTGCTCATGCTCCAGGAGCTAAATAAACAAGATCTGCCATACATTATTCATATAGATAATTTATTCACTGGTCTAAATTTGCTTTCCTATCTAAAATATCTCGGTTTTGGTGCAGTAGGTACAATTCGAGAGAATCGAATACCGAGGTCATGTCCACTAACGTGTAAAAAACAATTTCAAAAGAAACCTCGTGGGGATATCGAATATTTTCTGGAAAAGAATGATGGTATTCTACTGGTTAGGTGGATGGACAATTCAGTCGTCACAATTGCCTCTACAAATGACGGAGTTGTTCCATTATCATCTGTAAAGAGGTACAGCCAGCAAGAAAAAAAACATGTACTAATTTCTCGACCAAATTGTATTGCATCTTACAACATCAACATGGGAGGGACCGACCTTATGGACCAAGGAATAGCAAATTATAGAATTGGAATACGCGGAAAGAAATGGTACTGGCCACTTTTCACTTGGCTTGTTGATGCTGCCATACAAAACGCGTGGTTTTTGTCTAAAAAGAATCTCAACATTTCTAATCTGGAATTCAGGCGAGAGATAGTTTAAGTTTATTTAACTAGGTATGGCGTAAGTCCAAAAATGCCTGGACGCATAAGTATCATCAAGAACATTCGACCAGATATAAGGTTTGATAGAATGGACCATTTTGTTGTTTCCTGCCAAAGACGGCGTTGTGCTGGACAAGGATGTAAATCATTTGGTAGGACTATGTGTCAAAAATGTAATGTTGGACTTTGCGTTAGTTGTTTTGCTTCCTATCATACCAAATGAGTTGATACATGTATTGTTTACTTTTACTAAACCTTTGTTTAACTATGTTCAATTAAACTATCTTCTAAGTACCACGGATACCATATGGTATCGGCGTTTTTTTCTTACACCTTGTATATTAGATCCAAAAAAAATGTATTTTGGGTCATTTTATCATCCAGGTAATGAAAAAATATAAAAAAAAACAATAATAAAATAAGAATTTCCAATTTCGGTCCTTAATGGGTTAATGATTTTAATGTTAAGTAAATTATATGATAAAATATTTTATTCTCTAGGTAAATTTTATTGGAAATAAATTTTATGAATTTATTTTTATAACAGTGTTCTATTCCTGAGTTACCTCCTGAATTCTTTAATCCCATTGCAGATTGCAGACTGCTGCGCTCACAGTCATCCAAAAAGCTCTGTACCACCGTCCACCAGTGACAAAAAAAATCATGACTGACAATCAGTTTTTAGAAAGTTACGATATTGTCACGCTTAGGTTGTTTGTGGTCAGCGGTGCCACCACGTTATCTACACTTGGCTGCGTCGGCTAAGGGTTTATCCTGAAAAGAGATTATGGGGGGAAAGGAAAGATTTCACCACTAGTAGTTAATGCATCTATTGTTACACCTTAATTTATGTAGATGATTAAATTGGGTTTACCAAAAAAACCTGGATGGTGTTTCACGTTCAAATTTGAAAAGATGCATGTTCAAGAGATGCTTTATCATCCCTCAAAAGGAAAATTCCTTGCCAGCCGTCAAACTTACAAAAATCATCCGTCGTAAAAAAAAAATATTGAAAATTTCAAATCAAATCAAATCAAATCAAAATATGCTTTATTGTTTTAAACAAAGTAATGTTGTAAACAAAGCTGAAAAAGGTACGTAATAAAATAAAAAATAAATGAATAAATTCAGAACCTACAAAATCAAAAATACAATAAAGTGTACTTATATGACTTAGTTTACGTAGTCTAAATATATATGAATCATTAAATTACATAATTATAAAATTGAAACACAAACAGTAAACAGTTAATAAAATAATATAAAAGTGTTTCACGTTCAAATTTGAAAATATGCTTGTTCAAGGGATGCTTTATCATCCCTCAAAAGGAAAATTCCTTGCCAGCCGTCAAACTTACCAAAATCATCCGTCGTAAAAAAAAAAAAAATTGAAAATTACATATTTTCTTATTTTTTCTTCAGACACCTAGATAGTGTTTCATGATCAAAATTTTAAATATGCTTGTTCAAGGGATGCTTTATCATTCCTCAAAAGGAAAATTCCTTGCCAGCCGTCAAACTTACAAAAATCATCCGTCGTAAAAAAAAATATTGAAAATTTCATATTTTCTTATTTTTTCTTCAGACACCTAGATAGTGCTTCACGTTCAAATTTGAAAATATGCTTGTTCAAGGGATGCTTTATCATCCCTAAAAAGAAAAATTCCTTGCCAGCCGTCAAACTTACGAAAATCATCCGTCGTAAAAAAAAATATTGAAAATTTCATATTTTCTTATTTTTTCTTCAGACACCTAGATAGTGCTTAACGTTCAAATTTGAAAATATGCTTGTTCAAGGGATGCTTTATCATCCCTCAAAAGGAAAATTCCTTGCCAGCCGTCAAACTTACGAAAATCATCCGTCGTAAAAAAAAAATTGAAAATTTCATATTTTCTTATTTTTTCTTCAGACACCTAGATAGTGCTTCACGTTCAAATTTGAAAATATGCTTGTTCAAGGGATGCTTTATCATCCCTAAAAACGAAAATTCCTTGCCAGCCGTCAAACTTACGAAAATCATCCGTCGTAAAAAAAAATATTGAAAATTTCATATTTTCTTATTTTTTCTTCAGACACCTAGATAGTGTTTCACGTTCAAATTTGAAAATATGCTTGTTCAAGGGATGCTTTATCATCCCTAAAAAGGAAAATTCCTTGCCAGCCGTCAAACTTACAAAAATCATCCGTCGTAAAAAAAAAATTGAAAATTTCATATTTTCTTATTTTTTCTTCAGACACCTAGATAGTGCTTCACGTTCAAATTTGAAAATATGCTTGTTCAAGGGATGCTTTATCATCCCTAAAAAGGAAAATTCCTTGCCAGCCGTCAAACTTACCAAAATCATCCGTCGTAAAAAAAAAATATTGAAAATTTCATATTTTCTTATTTTTTCTTCAGACACCTAGATGGTGTTTCATGTTCAAATTAGAAAATATGCTTGTTCAAGGGATGATTTATCATCCCCCTTCGTAATTCCTTGCCAGCCGTCAAACTTACAAAAATCATCCGTCGTAAAAAAAAATATTGAAAATTTCATATTTTCTTATTTTTTCTTCAGACACCTAGATAGTGTTTCACGTTCAAATTTGAAAATATGCTTGTTCAAGGGATGCTTTATCATTCCTCAAAAGGAAAATTCCTTGCCAACCGAAAACTTAAAAATTCTTAAAATTACAGCTTCTTCTTCGTTCCGCTTCGTCGACTGGTTTGGTCTGTTGTGGTATGTAGATTACTGGATTCTGTGCCTGCCAACTTACTTGTGGGCAGAGTAACTTGTTGGAAGTGGTAGTATTGTATTGACTGTCCCACTAGCTTGTGGCATAGAATATTTGTGGTTAGTTGTGGTGACTTTTAGTTGGACGAATTTGTGTCTTCCTCTTTGTTTTTCGGGGTAACCTGGTTTGCTTCTACCACAGTTTCTTCTCTAGATTATCCTCAGTGTTGTCTCCGTGTTCTCCACTTACATATTTTGAGTAGTTATTTATTCCTGGTCCTAAAATTTCTGAGAAGTCCAAATTTTGCTTTGTTCTTAGCTGAAATAATTCGTCTGCAATGTGAGTGCTGTTGTTCGTAGAGTTTAAATTATCTGAATTTCACGTTTCAAGCAATTATTTATTTAAATAATTGTACAAAGTTATAGAAACTTACAAAACATGTCAAGCATGTGTGTGTGTGTCAATAATAACAATCGTAAATTCGTAAATAATAATTTCATATGTCAAAAACTTCTCTTCTTTTTTGTCTTCTGTCATATTCTTCTTTTCTTTATTGGGGACCGAGGACGGTTAGGAATGGGCTCCACGATCAGGAATGAGTTCCAATCGAAGGTGAGCCGCGGTTGCACGATACTGAACAGAGCCGACGACACAACACTGAACATACCGCCCCCCTTGAAAGCCCATAGGCTTTTAATAGTCTTGGTTGGGTATAATGGCTAGCTTGGTCACTGGACGCTTGAACACTCCAGTGGCTGTCTTGATAGATGCTGTGCGGATCACGCCATCTTCTCCTGGGAAAACTTCGGTCACTCTGCCGATTCGCCATTTCAAAGGTGGGAGTCCGTCTTCTTTACTGATGACAAGTATGCCTGGCTTCAACAATTGTGGATAATGCTGTTTCCACTTTGTGCGAATCTGAAGCTCGGTTATGTATTCCTTGGCCCAACGGGACCAAAAATGTTGGACCATCTGCTGCCGATGCTCGTAGATTGACAGTCTGTTTTCTGCAACTCCTAGCAGATTTGGTTGCGGAACTGTGGTAAGAGGCTCTCCAATCAGGAAGTGCGCAGGGGTAAGGGAATTAGGATCATTGGGGTTGTCAGAAAGTGGACATAAAGGTCTGGAATTCAGACAAGCCTCTATTTGGTTTAAAACAGTAATAAAATCTTCAAATGTTAAACATGAATTACCAATAACACGCTTTATATGGTACTTTACTGATTTCACATTGGATTCCCAAAGTCCCCCAAAGTGGGGTGCGCGAGGAGGTATGAAACTCCATTGTATACCAGAGTTCGCCAAACTATTTGAGATGGCAGAGGAGTCATGCTCAAGAAAAGCCTTGAGCTCATTATTAGTACCAACAAAGGTCGTACCTTGGTCTGAATATATCTGTGCGCATTTGCCCCTACGAGACATGAATCTGTACAAGGCAGCCAAAAAGCTCTCAGTAGTTAAATCACTTACAAGTTCTAAATGTAATGCCTTCGTGGCGAAACAAATGAATAAGGCTATGTAAGCCTTGGAAGTCTTAGAACCCCGCCCTTTGCGGTCTTTAAGAATGAAGGGACCGGCATAATCAACCCCTGAGACAGAAAATGGTCTAGATGGTGTTATGCGAGCCTTTGGTAAGTTACCCATAATGTATTGTGTGGATTTGGCATTAAAACGGAAGCAAATTGTGCAATTGTGATACACGCTTTTCACTAAATTTCTTCCACTAACTGGCCAATAACGTTCACGTAATGATGCAAGGGTTAATTGTGGTCCTGAATGTAGTAACTTGATGTGCTCGTGTTGAGCAATCAGAAGCGTAAGTCTGTGTTTAGGAGGTAATATGATAGGGTGTCTTTTTTGAAAATCGTAATCAGAATTTTGAAGGCGACCTCCAACTCGTATCACGTTGTTGGAATGATCAAAAAATGGATTCAAAGTCAAAAGTTTGGATTTATTAGAAATTTTATGCCCCTTCTGTAAAGCAGAGTATTCCTTAGGAAACGTTTCAGCTTGTACCATACTAATGAGAAAGTTAAGAGCATCAGTTATCTCTTGAGCAGATAGTTCACTTGTGACCTCAAGCCTCTCCTTAAGGTGAACTGTTGATTTTGACTTTAAGATCATCTTAAAACGCAATACGTACGCAACTATGCGAGAAATTTTGGTTAAACTAGAACGTTTGTCAATAAGAGTTAAAAAGTCATTGGATCTTTGTTCCTCCAAAGCTATATGAGCTGAAGAAACATTTCGCAACTCAGAAGTATCTTCCTTTGAAACATTGAAAACGTAATTTGGCCACTGATCTTCGGTATGACACAACCAAGGAGGGCCATGAAACCACAAGTCTGAATCCAATAATTTCAAGGGAGACAATCCTCTGGTGAGCATATCAGCTGGGTTGTCAGTAGTTTTAATATATCTCCATTCATCGTAGGTGGTCATAGATTGAATTTGCGAAATTCGATTTGCAACAAACGTTTTTAGAAGATGAGGAGATGACTTAATCCAAGACAACACTATGGTAGAGTCACACCAATAGTACGTGGCGCTGAATTTAATCGTTATGGATGATAATATTGTTTTCATTAAGTCGGCTAGAAGTACAGCTGCGCAGAGCTCGAGCCTCGGGATGGTAACTAGTTTAAGTGGCGAGACGCGGGTCTTGGCGCAAAGAAGTTGGGAGCAGCTGTTGCCAAGATAATCAGTAGAACGTATGTAAATACATGCTCCATAACCTGGTTCAGCGGCGTCTGAGAAGCCGTGTATTTGAATTTCAATGGGGTTACCACAAAGAGTGAGTCGAGGTATTCGAAGCTTGTTCAGCTGCACCAGCTGAGTCCTAAAAATAGTCCAAATCGTGTGTAGGTCCATAGGTATGGATTCATCCCATGATATTTTGAGTTTCCACAATTGCTGTAAGATAATCTTTGCAGAGATCGTCACAGGAGAAAGAAGACCAAGCGGGTCAAAGATCTGCGCAATTGAGGAGAGGATTGTGCGCTTTGTAACGCGTTCGTTGTGTTCACCAGTACCTATGCCTATGTCATATTCCAATGTATCAGAACTATGATTCCAAAATAGCCCCAAAGTTTTGCAAGGGCTGCCTGTATCAAACGAAATGCATTTTGTGGAGGGATCAGAAGTGAGTGACGCTACATTGGAAGCCCATTTTCTCAAGGGAAAACCATATCTTAAGAGTAGTTCATGAATAGTTTCCTTTATCTGTTTGACTTCTTCGACAGTTTGGCCACCAGTAAGTAAATCGTCGACGTAAAAATCACCATCTATTATGTGAGAAATCTTAGGCTCATCCTTAAGATGCAATTTGCCTACTTCCTGAAGAGCCCTTGTAGCAAGGAATGCTGCAGATGCAGTACCGTATGTAACTGTGGACAGATCATATGTCATAATTTTTTCATTGCTGTTAGAATGCCAGAGTATGCGCTGTAAATTATGTTGATCTTCTGCCACATAGACTTGCCGGTACATTTTCTCAATGTCCCCGCTCAGGACCACAGGATGCATACGATATCGTAATAAGATAGAAAAAAGACTATTTTGGACGTTGGGGCCAACCATCAGTAAGTCGTTTAGTGAATATCCTGAATCAGATTTACAGGAGGCGTCAAAAACGACGCGAAGTTTGGTGGTGGTTGAGCTCATTTTAAGCACACAATGGTGCGGCAGGAAGTAACCAGAATCATCATTTTGATTCTTAGACAAGTACATATGACCAAGTGTTTCATATTCTGAAATGAATTTTTGATAAGAATTTTTAAGATCAGAATTTCCATCTAGCTTCCTTTCTAGGGTCAAAAAACGCTTCAGAGCAATTGCCTTTGAATCACCAAGGCGGTCAACAGGAATTTTGAGAGGAAGACGTACCACGAACCTACCATCAGAAGCTCTTACCGTGTGCTGAGAAAAATGTTCTTCGCATAGGTTCTCTTCAGGTGAAAGAAATTTTGTTTTAGAGTATTCCTCCAATTCCCAAAACTTATTCAGTTGGTTATCTATACTAGTAGAATAAAGACATTGCGAATGTGAATGAGGATCTGACTTGATTTGCATCGGCCCTGAAATGATCCATCCGAACAGTGTTTTTTGTAGTATGGGAAGACCCTTTCCTAGCTTGATTTGTCCAATGTTAATCAGTTCCCAGAAAGTATCTGCCCCAATAAGCAGGTCAATAGGTTTAGAAGAATTGAAGTATGGATCAGCTAATACAATATTTTCAGGAATTTTTAGTGAAGTGTAGTTGAAGGACACAGCAGGAACGTTTCCAGTAATGGCTGGCAGTATTAAGCAAGATAATTTTATGTCAAAGTGGGAATAGTTAGATTGAATCCTGACCACGGCTCTAGAAGATATAGTTTCAGTTTTCTGACTGATACCTGTCACAGAATATTGTATTTTTTCTAGAGGTAATTTTAACAAGTTACATAATCTTTGGGAAATGAAGTTGGATTGGCTTCCACTATCCAAAAGCACTCTACATGCTACAGGGTTGCCTGTAGCATCAAAGACTTTAATCAAAGCTGTGGAAAGTAAGATGATGTTTGTGGTACAGTGCTGATTGACAACTAGACTACAGGGGGCTTGTATAGATGTTTGTGTGGACAGGGAAGTTGTAGGTGGGTTTTGTAATTGATCTTCATCATGGTTGGCGTTAAAGGAATCAGCAGAGTCAGCATGGAAGTTTGTAGTGTCAGGTTTATTAAAATGTAAAAGGGTGTGATGGATCCGTCCACATTTTCTACAACCAGAAGATCGGCATTGTTTTGTGGAATGACCCGAAGATAAACAATTTACACATAGTCTGTTTTGCTTGGCAACATTTAGTCTGTCAACAGCTGAAAGTTGAAGAAACTTAGGACAAGCGTAAATAAGGTGCTCCTTTTTACAGAGGGAACATTTTCTATTCTCGGTTGTCACAAACGAATGAGTAGTGCCCTTGTTTTGAAATGGAAGTGAGTTTTTTGCTTGTTTGGCACCTTTTGGCATGCTGGATTCAACAGACTCCAACATACGACATTTATCCTTCAAAAAATCAATAAGGTCTTTGTAGGTGGGTAGGTTGTCTGAAACAACTTCAGATTCCCAAGCCCGCCTAGTGACATTGTCAAATTTTGATGTTACAATGTGACAAATTAAAACATCCCAGTGTTCTGTTGGCAGTTTTAAGACTTTCAAGGCACCAATGTGTTTTTGAATACCGTCAAGTAATTCTCTGACCCCCTTGTGAGATTCACGTACCATAGCTGGCAAATTAAAAATAGCACTTACATGATTGTTTACCAAAATGTTTTTATTTTCAAACCTATCATTCAAAATGTTCCAAGCAATATTGTAATTGCTGTCAGAGATTTCTAGAGAAGCAACTGTCTCAGCAGCTATGCCTTTTAAAGATAGGCGTAGGTAGTGGAACTTTCTGACAGGTGTAAGCTTACTATTATTGTGTATTAAAGAATTAAAAGTGTCCCTGAAGAAAAACCATTGATCATAGGATCCGTCGAAGGTGGGCAAATTAATTTGTGGCAGTTTAATATTGATTAAATCATCATCATTATTTGACTGATTAGGTGATGAGTTGCTTGTATTTCCCACATTCGTCGTTGGCTCTCTAGGTGTTTGATCAATCAAGAATTTTCGAGCCTCAGAGACGAGTCGATAAAATTTATTTTCAAAATTTTCCCTTTCTACGGAATGTAAGTCTTCATGTTCTTGGTCGTCGGGATCTGAGGCTTCAATAATTAATTGAACAGTGTTAAATTCCTCTAAAGAAGAATGTAGTTTTTGCAAACGTGCATCTAACTGCACTAAATCAATAGTTGTTATATTTGTTACTTGATAGGTTATTTTCAGAGTGTTAAAATAGTTTTCAAATCGAGTGAGGGCACTTTTTAAGGCCTTACGCTTGTTTTTAGCCTCCTCTGCCATGTCAAACAGCAAGAAAAACCAATAGGTATGGCAAGGGAGTGTATGATCAGTAAATCAAGAAAATCGTAAGGTTATGTGAAAGTAGTAAACAAATGTGAAATCAATATAAGTAACCATCAAAGAAAAAGGTGTCTAAGTTAAGCGAAGTGCTGTTTTAAAATAAAAGATGAAAAATAACTAAATGAAGGCTTGTAGGTTAGGGAAATTATGGTTGGGATTATGGGAGAGGTAATGAGAAAGGAACGCACTGACCTGATGATCGTCCGCCGTCAAAGAAGTTGTTCAGCCTTGGAGTTTTTTCAGTTGTAGGCCTCTTCCAAGGTCCAAGCTTGAAGTTGCCTTCACTTGCTATGTTCTAGGGCCTTGGCCCGAAGTGTGGTTATGTGATTTTCTTCGATGTTGAGCTGATGTATCCGGTTTCGAAGGACCAATATGTTGTTCGTAGAGTTTAAATTATCTGAATTTCACGTTTCAAGCAATTATTTATTTAAATAATTGTACAAAGTTATAGAAACTTACAAAGAATGTCAAGCATGTGTGTGTGTCAATAATAGGGCTGTTCGCACAGCAATCACAAACCAGTCAGAGCGAACTTCATTGGTTGAAAACAATCAGAAACAGTCAGAAAACTAGTTTCAACCAATGAAATTCGCTCTGACTGGTTTGTGATTTCTCTGCGAACAGACCTAAAAACAATCGTAAATTCGTAAATAATAATTTCATATGTCAAAAACTTCTCTTCTTTTTTGTCTTCTGTCATATTCTTCTTTTCTTTATTGGGGACCGAGGACGGTTAGGAATGGGCTCCACGATCAGGAATGAGTTCCAATCGAAGGTGAGCCGCGGTTGCACGATACTGAACAGAGCCGACGACACAACACTGAACAAGTGCTTTCAGCGTTCGGACTTAACTCGTTTGGGTCAACAATTTATTGCTTATTATGCATAACGGTGTTTTTGTTTTATCGACTGGCTATTTTAAATTTCGCAAGGACTGTTCAATTTGATTGTGATCACTTATGTTTTCGTCCTCCTTCTGTTTTCGTTAGTGGCCCTCTTGGCTTTCAGTCCTCTGGGGTGGTTCTGGTATTGACTCTTTGGCTAGGTCATCAAGGTGTTTCAGGAAACAGGGCGCCTCCACCATGTGTCACGCTTAGGTCGTTTGTGGTCAGCGGTACCACCACTTATTTATCTACATTTGGCTGCGTCGGCTAAGGGTTTATTCTGAAAAGAGATTTTGGGGGGAAAGGAATGATTTCACCACTAGTAGTTAATACATCTATTGTTACACCTTAATTTATGTAGAAGATGATTAAATAGGATGTACCAAAAATAGATTGCAGTAAATTTTCTTCCCTGGTGAGATATTATTTGACATTTCCTTGGAATGCCCTACGCTGTCAATACTACCCAAACAGCCCTATGAAAATGTACCCTCGAGGAGCGTAGTTTCCATAGGTCTAGGTTTGGGGCTTCTATAGCATGACTAAGAGCATGGCATTCACCTTAGGATCTCAGTCGTACTGTAACAAGTCACACCCAACTTGGAGAGAAAGTCTTTAGGCCTGTAGCCTTGAGGAGCTTAGGGCTGTGGAGACTAACCTCTGCCTGACTGCATTGCGGTGCGCGTAATTTATACAAGAATTATTGCTACCATCAGCAGAGTCAGTTAATTTTCTGTAGTACAAGCGCCAAATTCATTTTATTTTTATAGTCTGTGAGCTTGTAGACATTTATGAGTTGACAATATCGAGAAACTCGCCTTTCCATTGTGCGAAATTAAATACCTGCAATAGCATCCAGTTAACTATTTTCGTGTACCCACAACTAACAAAAAATGTTTCTTATATTTTTAGAAAAAAAATAAAACCACAGAATAAACAAATATATTTATATTCTCAATAAGTATAAATAATTATGTACACTTTTTAAACTTAGTATAATAAATAATTTTATATACAGTTAATTAGCAATTTATTATTTATCACAGCTTTAAGCTTAATAAGACAAGCCTTTGATGCTTTGCCTTGCTACAGCATCAAAAACTAATCCTAAAACAAACCATTAAAAAGTCATTATTTATTTTCATAATAAAATAAGTGCTGCAGATGATTTTAAAATCTCATTTTCAAATAGTATAATGTAACACTATTTTATTGTCTCATATGAGATGCACATTATATACAAAGGACAAAAATTAGGAATGTGTTTTAAGTGCACTTGGTTTTTGGCCTGAAGAGACTAGATTATTGAATTTTCATAAGCCAAACAAATACCAACAAAAATCATAACTCGTCCTTTATAATACGACTTGTCGAATTTACACTATAATCGTCTGTTAAATTTACTTTTAATTTTTTAAAGTAGCTTTCTATAACTAAATGTTCTTCTGGCGAGTGACTGAAAAGAAACTGCAATTGCCTGAGTTGCTTGAGATTGTGTAAAACCCGTCTGCGTTGCCTGTTATTAGATTTCCTCCAGTCTTTTAGGGTTTTCTCTATGAGAGAAATGGTTTCGTTGCGGATGTTGGCCAAGCACAAGTCTTTGTCTTTTTGAAGCTAAATAAACAATATTTAGAAATATTTCAAATAAATACAATAAAGTAGTTACCTGACTGTGAAGACAAACAGAGTACATTACATGTAGCTTAGTTGATATATCTAAATTTGATAGTATAAAACCCAATAAATTTGGCACTGTAATGGGAATGTCTGCTGGAAATACTCGTGTTTCTTCTTTCCTAAAAATTACATCAAAAAATGCATGACAAATACAAAGTTACTTACATTGTAGCCGGAAAAAATAAAATAGTAGGGAATTCCTCCATAGTGTATTCCCATGGTAAAATGTTTTCGTCCCCATTTATTCTGGCAAATTTAATATTTTCAACAAAAGACAATTTTCTTGCTACCGTTAAAAAGATATACGAGATCCCGTTACAATAGGAACATTGTTTGGAGTAGTACATTACTAAAACTGTTCTTTTCTCTTGTAAAACCATGCTCAAGTAATTTTTACTATTTAGTTCTTCGAGAAATATTATTGGAGCATTACTAGTTCTCAGTTTAATAGGGTAACTTGGAGTGTTTACAGTTGGAACATTTACAATTGAATCAGATGATCTTCTAAGAGTATTATTCGTATAATCTCTGATAAACATTCTAACGTTATAACTAGTAATCGGCTCTTGCATAACATAATGAGTTTCCGATTTTTCGTTGAGAATCACCACTGCACTTGTGTCATTCTTTGCAAAAAGATCCAGCCCAAGTCTTTCAGCAAACATATAATACATTAAACTATCCATGGCGATAAAGTTTAAGCTTCCATTTGAATTTTCACAAGCCAAATTTGATACGTCAATTTTTTCGGTATGGATTTTTGGTTCGAAGATTGCCGAATGAATTTGTTGAGCCTTTAGGAAGTTTTTACATTTCGTCTTTTTTGTGGCCTTTTTAAGATTTTCCATTGATTTTGGATCAGAATCTGAAATATATTTGTTGTAAATAATGCAAATATAGGTACGGCCGAAAGGGGTAAACCACTAGTGGAAATCATTGTACATTTGTAAGCATAGTGGTTGACTCCTTTGGTATGGCTAATAACTCATGTATGATTTTCTTACCTGATTTCCAAATTGAAGTTTCAATAAACCCATCATTTTCTTCATCTAAAGGCAAAGTATCCAAACACTGCCCCAATCTTACACTGTGGCACATTTTAACCCCCAAACCTTCACAATCTAATTCAACTTTTCCTTTTATATTTGAAGTAGAATTTAAAAATTGAGAACTTGCCGTAATAGAAATAGCAGCTCTTGGCTTACTTGTTTTAACCTGACACATCTTCTTAAGCTTCTCGTACTCGAGCTTATTATTCAACCTTTTAGTTTTCATGTCGAAGCTCAAGCCCCAATTATCACAATTTTTATATTCCTGAGCAATCTCTTGGAGCATCATGTAATAATCAGTATGTGCTCTTAAAGGATTTTTTGGTGTGAACAAAATTAAAGTGGGGCCGGGTTGTAATGCTTCGGCCAATACTAAACTTTTAGATCCAGTGGGCATCACCCAAGAACTAGGCGATTCACTAGTTTTAATTATCCATTGTAGAATGGTATCTACTTTCCAACCGCCTTCTTCTAATTCTAAAATCTATAATACATTGGAAATCTGTTGCTTATTATAGTGGTGATGGTACTCAGATAGCCTTATGTATTATGAAACTTTGAATATCAGAAGAGTGAAAGTCTTTCATAATCTCAAAATGCTTAAATTCTAGGAATTTATAGTGTTACTTACCCTAACTTGATTCCACAAGTACAAAGATAACGTATTTTGTGTAACTTTTACAGGCTTCACGTAAAAAGTTACTCTACCATTATAATCAGCCTCCAAATATTTTAGAGCTGTAGTGTAAAATATCGGATATTCAACGTTTCCGGGCAGTGGATTAATTTCGGCTACAATAAAGGCCTGAAAACTTTGATTTACCAAAAATTTTCAACAAAATTTTTGAATATTTACCTCTTCAAAATTGAAATCAGTTTGATTTGCAATTCTCCTGATTGGCTGCATTATTTTTTGCAAAAAACTCATCATATGTGTGGCAATTAAAGGCCCATTATATTGAATACCGCTACCAAAAGATGGGTAAACAATAAGGACTGGCCACCTACAATAAAATCAATTATTTATTTTTAAAAGTTGTACTTTTTAAGAATCCAAAAGTAGGCACAATATATATAAATTGATAAATAGGTGTTTATTTCCAACAGAAAATTTACTTAATGAAGTATATACGCATGTGTGAGTAGAGGCTATAAGGTTGGTTGTATGTCAAGGTAAGGGTTAAGTACTAGTTGAAGAATTGAATTGAATTGATGTTGAAGAAGGGCAATTTCTTAGACTGCCAGCTCATATACCTATGCAGTCCTTTCTAGCAATTCAAATAATATGTAAATCACAACTTAAACTCAAAAGTTGCAGTCATAACTTTAAAAGATTCAACATTTTAGGGATGGAAAATCCATGGCAGAAAAATTTGTAGATCAGTTTCATACAGCCTTTACAAATGAATCATACCCAACTCTACCATTGCCTGTCCATACAAAACTCAATTGCAGCTATACATTTTACAATGGAAAAAATTGAAGAAGCTCTCAAAAATATGAAAAGAGACTCAAGCCTGGGCCAAATAGAATTGCAATAATTTTTCTTCAGAATTATACCAATTCAATCATTCCTTAATAATGAGTACAGTTTTTGTAGGCTAATTTCCAAGATTCTTCATGTTGTTATTTTCCACTGAAAAAATTTGAAATTTTTGGAAAATGAGTTTCTAACTTTCCTCTTCACCTGTAAAAAGTTTCAAATTTTTCCGTTCACTAGTTTTCCAGGAAAACTTTGAAATGTGTGAGACGATATTTTCAACTAATTCATTTATTTTCCGCTGCAAAAATTCGAAATTTTGGGAAAATGAGCTTCTCATCTTCCTCTCCACATGCAAAAAGTTTCAAATTTTTCCCTTCATTAGTTTTCCAGAAAAACTTTGAAATGTGTGAGACTGTAGTTTCAATTAATTCAGTTATTTCCAAGATTCCTCATGTTGTTATTTTCTACTGGAAAAATTTGAAATTTTGGGAAAATAAGCCTGTAACCTTCCTCTTCACATGCAAAAAGTTTCAAAATTTTCTCTTCACATGTTTTCCAGGAAAACTTCGAAATGTGTGAGACTGTATTTTAAATTAATTCAGTTGTTGGAGGTTGACTTCCAAGATTCTTCATGTTGTTATTTTTCACTGGAAAAATTTGAAATTTTGTGAAAATAAGCCTCTAACCTTCCTCTTCACATGCATACAGTTTCAAAATTTTCTCTTCACTAGTTTTGTAGGAAAACTTCAAAATGTGTGAGACAGTATTTTAAATTAATTCAGTTATTGGAGGTTTGACTTCTAAGATTCTTCATGTTGTTATTTTTCACTGGAAAAATTTGAAATTTTGTGAAAATGAGCCTCTCACCTTTCTCTTCACATGCAAAAAGTTTCAAAACTTTCCCTTAATTAGTTTTCCAGGAAAACTTTGAATTGTGTGAGACTGTATTAACAATTATTTCAGTTTTTGTAAGCTGATTTCCAAGATTTTTCATGTTATTTTCCACTGGAGAAATTGAAATTTTGGGAAAATGGGCTTCTCCTCTTCCTCTTTACATGCAAAAAGTTTCAAAATTTTCCCTTCACTAGTTTTCCAGGAAGGTTTTGAATTGTGTGAGACAGTCAACCATATGAATAAAGTGTAGCAAATGCTTTTACTCTACCTCCATCTCTTTTTGCTGCATTGAAGTTGAATATGTTTATCTCCAAAAATTTAAACAAAGCATGGGCTTCTGTTTTATTCATATAAATCAATGTACCGTCATGATTCTTCGCAAAGCATGGGAGGTTTGTTCGAACAACATGTCAAAAAAACCGCCCCATGAATGGTTTATGAATTGGAAAAAGACCAACACAATAATCGCTTATGTTTTTCTAGATCCTAATTCAAATTCAGGAGCCGAGAATAATCAAAATTTTGAATTTTCCAAAGGATCAAATCCAAGACATTGTGAAATTGACATAATACAATTGAAAAACAACAAAATGACTGATAGAGATGTCTAAATGCATGGGCAACTTTGCCAGAAAGTATATCTATATATCTGTCTCTTTCCGATGACTATGAATTGGGAAACGATCAACAAAAACACAATAATGGCTTCTGATTAAAATTGGTTTTTGAATCGGACGGTACGGTACATTGTACGGTTTCCTTACGTGTTGGAACACAATTGTATAGTTGGGCTACTGAGAGTAAAGCGTTTCGGTCTGAAGTTCAGGGGGAGATATGGAAATACATAGTTGAGATGGATAGAAATATTAGTTCGGATATTTGCCACCGGTAAACTCTCGCTTGTCGGACTATAGGTACGTAAAATTCGATATTCGTATATAGAGTGGTTCAGAATAACTTCAACAGACCTTTTGATTCGTATGGTTACTTCTATAAGTTCACTCGCTTCACTTTCGAGAATATAATTGAATATTTCGAAAATATACCTGAAGTGCGTAGGCAGTTGGTGGTAGAGATTTGACAGTACGCTCTCAGCGGCGTGCGCATCTATGTTCTCTCCCAGTTCGTCTCATTACTTTTGAAAATATGCACCGTCTCTTTGTGTATACGAGACACGTCTATTGACACTAATTTCCATTAATTGCTTTATAAAATTCAAATTTTTACTATTAACGGCTCTTGATTTGTCGAAAAAGGGATAACTTTTATGATAACCAAACATAATGCAAATCTCCATCAGTCACCCCAGATGACGTCATCTGTTTCTCATTATCAGACAACCTATTAATTTTGGGAACCTAGAATCAAGAACTAGTGAAACCTCATTGAAATCATTCACAAGAGATTTGTAGAGAATTTAATTGGTTTTAATTTAAGTCTAATTACTCGAAGATCAGATTGAAATTAATCCGAAAACTAGCTCCGTTCACTAGTTTTCCAGGAAAACTTTGAATTGTGTGAGACAGTATTTTCCTTAGAGCAGGTAATGCGCTGTCCTACGGACATAAGGAGTAGGAACACGCCATTTTTCTATGAAATTAAAAGTGAAGCCAGTTTTTAGCATTTGTTTGTACACCAAATGACAGGTAATGCATTGAATTAGCTATACCGCCATTATTTTGGATCTCAAAATACCTGGAAAAAAACGGCTCCATTTTTAAACTCCATGTTCCTACTCCTCCCACATAGGAAACTACCTGCTCTAAGGTATTTTCAATTAATTCAGTTATTGTAAGTTGATTTCCAAGATTCTTTATGTTGTTATTTTCCACTAAAAAAATTTAAAATTCTGGGGATATGAGCTTCTCACCTTCCTCTTTAGATGCAAAAAGTTTCAAAATTTTCCCTTCATCAGTTTTCCAAAAAAACTTTGAATTGTGTGAGACAGTATTCTTTATTAATTCAGTTATTGTATTGTAGGTTGATTTCTGAGATTCTTCATGTTATTATTTTCCACTGGAAAAATTTGAAATTATGGGAAAATGAGCTTCTCATTTTCCTCTCTACATGCAAAAAGTTTCAAAATTTTCCCTTCACTAGTATTCCAGGAAAACATTGAAATGTGTGAGAATGTATTTTCAACCCGTTCAGTTTTCGTTGGTTGATTTCCAAGATTTTTCATGTTGCTATTTTCCACTGGAAAAAATTGAAATTACGGGAAAATAAACCTCTAACCTTCCTCTTTACATATAGAAAGTTTCAAGTTTTTCCTTTCACTAGTTTTCCAAGAAAACTTTAAAATGTGTGAGACTGTATTTTCAATTAATTCAGTTATTGTAGGTTGATTTCCAAGATTCCTCATGTTGTTATTTTCTACTGGAAAAATTTGAATTAAATTAGTTCTAGCTCTAAAGTCAACTAACGTAACCTTGCATTGGATCTTATTCTCGATCCTACTTGATAAACTGCTCTTGTATTTTAACAAAGCAAAATAAAAATAAAAAAAATTATTAATTTCTTATCACGAGCAATTATGGGACTTTTTAGGGAATTTATAAGAGACATTTGTGGGAAATTTGAGAGGAGTTTGGAGGAATTTGGAGGAATTTGTGATGGGGTATCTGAAAGACTTTGTGGGGAATTTGGAGAAATTATGTGTAAAAAATTCCCCTTTGAGAAATTGTTTGCACAAATTCTAAGATGGTGGTTTACCCCTTGGTAGAAGGTGTCGAATCATCTGCTGGTCTCATAAATTTGAAGTCAAAATAATGGCCTTTTCCAAATTATGAATTCTGGGGAGAGTAGAGCTGACAATGGACAAGATATTGTTGGATTATTTAAAAAATACTTTGAGACTGATTATACCCTGGGAGACCTAGATGCATCGCCAGACCTGAGAACTCCACTGAATGTTTCAGGCTTGCACACATTTCTAGAGAGGACATTTATAATAAGATAGGTTTACCAAACAAGGATACATTGGGTCCTGATGATATTCCAAATAATTTAATAAAGCAATGCATTTGCTCTCTATTAATTCCTTTGCACACATCTAACAAATCATTGGTATCCACAACTTTTTCAGACAGATGCTGGAGAATTTCAAGCAAGTTGATGCCATTCCTACAGATTTTTCCAAGGCGTTTGATCAAGTAGACCACTGTATTTTTCTTAAAAGTCTTTATGGTACCTATAAGTTTCAGCGCAGCTGCAGTAGACTAGATCAAAAGTTTTTCAACAGGTCATCAACAATCAGTAAGGGTAGGTAGGTCTTTTCACTCTGGCACAATCACTGTTACCTCAGGAGTCCTGCATGGGGGACACTGTTCACCCTTATTTTTCGTTTTATTTGTCCATTCTATATTCGATTGTTTTCAAAATAGTAATGGGCTTCTACTGATGATTTAAAAGTTTTTAGGATTATAAATAATATATGAACGAAACAATACTGCCAAGCATGTGATACTCCTTGCGTTTTTAAGGATGTTACAAAGATTAAGGATATTAAGGACTTATTTGAGGGACCCTGTGATATGTGTAGATTCATTTTCTGTAAGAATTACTCTGGAGTATCATCGAGCGAAATTAGAGTACTAACTGCTCAGACAAGAGCTACATTCTATTGCTGAGAGGGTGTGGAGGTAATACATACATCAGCAGTCAGAAACTTTCCAACTATGAAGGAACAAATAAGCAGCATTGAACAAAAATTAAATGTCCTTGAAATGTCTCAAAGATCTTGCAGACACAGTTCCTGATAAAGTGACCTGTGGATGACCGGCTACCTAATGGTGACTTTGCTGATTTGACAACTAACCCAAAGAATGTGCTCAATTCTCAAACTGAATTCATTGGAACACAGCTAAATAAAAGTTGACAATATCAGGGTCAATCAGGCAGGCCAATAAGGAGTTGGTCAGATTTCTTACTCAGAAGAATGAAGGTGCCAACCTTGAGCTGAATGTTAAATGGGTATTATTCTTGATGAAAATGTTCATTTGAGTGGTCATTCTTTAAAGTTAAAGTTAGAGACAGAAAGATCATCCAAAATCCAAACTTTCTAGAGGACACTTTATTGTGAATCGGGTAATCTATCAGTTGGAACACACACAGTGGAGAAGCTGTCATAACTTGAACAATAAGCTTATTAAAAAACTTATCATGAATTGCTGGAAACTTAACTAGAACTGTCTACTCTGGGAGCAGTTGAAATAAGTTTAAATTAAATTTCAATAGTTTCATTGGTGTAAACCACTTACTATTGAAACTTATAATAATAGCAGCATTTGAACTTTAGGTGTGAAAACCTAATCAACCTTCTTACTAAATATCTATCTTAAAATAGTATTTAGATAAGCCAAAATTATTACCTACCTATAAACTTTGCTATATTGATTCCTGCACTCACTGCCAGGCTGCCAACAATTAACAGCAGCAAATTTAACAAAATGCTTCAAATATTCGGCAGCAATCAAGAATTCCTTTCTAGCTGCCTGACTTTCAGCATCCCAAGGGGCATAGAACATTATAAAAGATAAGTCGGACATTCTCGAGTGTTCTATTGCCGTTATTATTTGACCCCTGTAAAAATCTTTGACCGGCAAGTCTTTAGCGAAAAACGGGTAGGCTGCTGGTGCTTTGGATACTTTTGGTGGGCTAAAAATGTTTTTTTGATTTGTATGCAAAAAATAAATAAGGAATGTTCTTACTCGTTGGTTATAGCTGCGTAAGCAATAAAAACAAGACAAAATATCAAAAATTCTTTAATTAAATTAAGCATTTTGACCATATATTCGTTGACTGGGTCGTCTATGTAGTGATATTCAACAGATTGGCTATCGCATTTGAAATCGACACTTTTGTGTTCATTATCACCAGATCGCTGGCGTTTTGATGTCGATATTTTGGCCCTCCCGAGGCACTTTCTTAACCAATTCATACCCGGTATCAATCATTAGACACTCGAAATTCGTTTTTACATTTTTCTCTAGCTAAAATTGCCCTTTAAACTTGGATACATTCAAAATGTATTAAAAAAAATGGGAACTTTTATGATCAAAACAAGTTAACCTTAAAATATACACGTCATTGATTTGAGTATTTTGACATGTCAAAACAACTCGAAGGGTGACCAATCGGATTCGAGTATTCGGATATAGGTGATTCGTCAAATAAAAAATCAGCATAGTATGCAACCAGTTAAACACACATAAGTTGTAAAATAGCTGTATTCCTTTCACACCTACCTACGAGGAGCTCCGGAACAGCTCCGGGGCGTTACGCGATTATTCCTATCGAAAAGTGTTTGTTGCACCTGAGCCAAGGTTGTTTAAAAGAGGGAGGTTGCCTGATAACTTTTATGACGTCATCTGTATGCCTAAAAAACGGCCTAAACATAATGCAAATCTCCGTAAGTCACCCCAGATGCGTCATCAAGTTACTTACTAACTGATGCGTTCGGTATTTTGCTCAAAGAGCAGAGCGTGCTGAGCGGAGCCGTAATCACGTGACCAGCGAGCGAATATTCTCGCATACAAAGTTTGATAGGATTTCGAATGCTTCCCATTTAATTTACATTGCTGTCAGTCAAATTTCGTATACGAAATGTACTCGAATGGTTTCGAAAATCGCACCCCAGAGAGCAGGTTGAACGCTGTATCAGTGATCAGTGTCCTAGAAATTTTATTAAACGAACGCGAATGAGCCTGCACCGAGTACACTTTTTAAATAATCGAACGGTAAATTCAAGCTCGGAGAACTCAGATCAAAATACCGAACGCACGGTTAGGAACCTTGCACCCTGAGCAGCTTTCGGGTGCTACCCGAACCCGAAGTACTCCGGCTACAGTTTGACCCGAGCCGCTTTCCAGTATGCACATTGGCGCGCTCTAGAGCACCCCGGGGGCGCCACGCGCTAGATTTGTACCATTCCAGTATCATGGCGTGAGACGCCTGTCTTAGTGTCAAATATGTCAAATTTTAAAAATAATTATCTGTTTGTTGGTGCGGGTTGTTATTTATTTATTAAAAATTGAAGAAAATCAAACCCCGAGATATAACAATAAACAAATAAATGAATAGCCACCCACGGATGTGACAACTGACAGGTTGACGGGAACGTACAGCTCGGGAGCTCAACGCTCCGAGTAGCTCCGGGCGTCACAGTCCCATACTGGAAAGCGGCTCCGTTCGGGTGAACAGCGTTTGACGCTCTCGAGTAGGGCCCTGGATTCCATTCCTCGATTCGAGTCGAATCGGAAACGAAGAATTCAATATGCCGTGGCAGCCAGCAAGTTTGTTTTCAATATGTTTTCATGCATATTTTATTATTTCGCTTCGAGTTGTGCTTGCAGCTTTGATTTTCATTAATTCAATAAAATATTTGTTTACTAGGCACGTAAACTATCGAGTCGGGTAGAAACTAGATATTTTTTTGTGTTTTTTGGTCCATGTGTGGCGGGCACGCCATCTTGAATGTCACATAGTTTGGATTGTCTAAGCGGTTCGGCTTGCACACTCTGAGTGACTCCGTTCGCACTCCAGCCGTTGTCTGATTCGTTAAAAGGCAATACCCGAACGGCTGGAGTGCGAACGGAGTCACTCGAAGTGCACGGAGTGTGCAAGCCGAACCCAGCTCTAATAACATCTAAAATATCATAATTACTCGATTTATGTAAAGGTCTTTTAAACTGGGCTAAACAAGCGTTTAAGGTCTTTTTTCACACGCTGGCGCTAGCTATTACGTCAAACATCATATAACGTCACTTTCGATAGGAGGACAAAAATTTCATTGTGAGGTTATGTGTGTGACCTCAGCTAGCGCCTTGGCTTTAGGAAGAATCCAATCCATCTGTCAAAACGAAAAATTCAAGTTAACTTTGAATTTCAGTTATTTTGCTTCGAGTTTTGCTTGCAGCTTTGATTTCAATTAGTATTCAATACAATTGGTTCATGTGTGGCTGCCACGCTATCTTGAATGTCACGTGGTTTGAATTGCCTAATAGATATCAAAAAATGCACATCTGTCTTAGTTCCCATTTTCCCAACCAAAGTTCCTAAAGTTAATAGGTTGCCTGGTAATGGGTAACTTGATGACGCATCTGGGGTGCCTTATGGAGATTTGCATTATGTTGAGGCACCCCAGATGACGTCATAAAGTTATCAAACAACCTACCTACTCTCAAACAACCTTGCCATTTTCCCAACTTGATGAAAGAACGGAATTGCCTATTGTTAAGAACGATCGATTCGATCGTATCAAGATCGACTCGATCGACGCAGAATGGAATCCTTGGGCTGTTCTCATTTTCTCGCCACCCTTCCTCTTTCCCCCCTCAACAAACAAATCACCAGTTGTGACGTAAGCAGCATCTTATTTCTCGTCTTGACAGACGTCTTTTTCTGACGAAATGTTTTGAAACGTTTTAATACGCTAAATTTTTGTGTTGCAGCAACGGTGACATCATGTACGGAAACTCGGAAACGGTTCAACCCGTTTCGAACCGCTCTTTCAGCCTGTTTCAAAATAGGCGTTAAACAGCTGACCTTAAAATACCACAAAACAATTATTTTGGAGATTTCATGGGCACAGTATTAAAACGATGCATTTTGATCACCACCGATCCGATATGATGACGTGGCAATTGAACCAGTTTTGAAACGTTTTAAAACACGGTTCAACAGAAAAAGACGTCTATAGGATGTTTAAAAAGCTGGCGACTTAGTTATGACGTCAGAAATGATGACACATCATCACGCAAGAAACGTCAAAAAATTGACGTTCCAAAGTAGTCCTTGGATGATGCACGCCAACGAGCATACACTTTGGAGTGCTTTTTTGTCCTCGTTTTTGGTTATCGCCGCCATATTGGTGTGATACCCATTGCCAAATCATCAGTTGTGACGTAGCAGCTTGTTATTTCTCGCCTTGACGTAGGCTGTTTAAACAGCTGGCCACTCAGTTATGATGTCGGAAATGGTGACACACCAATATGGCGGCGATTACAAAAAACGAAGCCGATAAGCAACGTACGATAAATAAAATGGATATAGAACTTAGGGTACGTGCACAACGGAGCTGTGCTGCAAACTTATAGCCTGGATGATAGATGGAAGTTATCATCGATGCTGAATTATATCATTAGTTTAAATTAGTTTCAGCTATGATCTGTCATCCAGGCTACAAGCTTGTATCCTAGCTCCGTTGTGCACGTACCCTATTGAAGTTGATGGGTCCGCTCGGTAAAGTGAGCACTGAGTCGCCTTCGGGTGCAGAGTAAACTCCTAAAACACTTGACACCTGCCATGCTCCATGAGTTTTGCACTCGAACGCTTGAAATCGAACGGGTCAAACTGTAGCCGGAGTATTTCGGAGTAGCTCGGGAGCGCTCAAAGGGTTGCACCCGAAAACAGCTCTGAGCAAACATGTTCGGAGCAGTGATTAATGAAATATATTCCGTGTTCTGCTGCAGACAAGCCGACAGAATCCTGCCCCAGTTCAATTACTTCAAATGTAGTTAGGGATGGCGACGATACATCGATTTTTTGGAAACATCGAGACATCGAACAATGAACATCGATACAACGTAAGTCGATGTATCGATACCTGAACAATGGACTCGATACCAACCATGATTTTTTTTATTAATTCCTTTTCTTTAATCTTTTCCACTAGGCAGTCGACACGTTCTACAAATGCAAATTCCTGTTTTGATGATAAATTGACAATTCGCGAAAGGCCCCGAAGTAGGCGACATCTATGATCAACTTTGGTACTCAAAACTCAGTGAACAACAAAGCAAGTTCGCATTTGGCCCCCGGCATTGTTTCTGGAAGATTTCAATTTTCTACAGAATATTATTCTTTTTATGTATTGTTTTTGTTATATAAATCACAAAAATGCCATAGAACAGAATTTAACAAAAAATAACCTCAAAAAACTGGCTTTGTTGTTCACTGAGTTCGGCAGACATATTGCTATTTTTCGCGTAATTTAGCGCCATCTATTGGTACAGGAATTTCGCCAATTGACTTTAAGCCTTACCACTAAAATCCCTTTTTCCCAAAGCTAGATTTGAACAAGTCTGGTAGATGGCGCTCGTGACAGTAGAAATTATTTCTTAAGCAAGTAACAAACAGGTGGCGTTGTACTCTCAAATGCCTTGAACATGAAACCGCTATAGAAAGTTCAGGTTTGAGTTCAAATAGAAGTTATAAATTAGGATTAATGTACTCGCTTCGGCGGTACATATACTAAAATTGGAACGATACAGAGAAGATTAGCATGGCCCCTGCGCAAGGATGACACGCAAAATCGTGAAGCGTTCCACATTTTTTTGAGATTTTTTCCTTGTAGTAGGGGTAGCCATTTTCCTAATTTTCTTTTCTAATTTTTGTATCTAAACTAACTGAAACTGGGGGTTTTCGGGTTTTTCACCTAACAAAATTTGTACACCGATTAACAGTACTAAGGACCAAATTATGGACCAACTGGTAAGTGTCTGGTTGTTACCTGGTACCTTCTATTCTCTAGTACATAGAAAGTACCTGCTAGGTAACAACCAGACGTTTACCAGTCAGTCCATAATTTGGCCCTTACTGAGATATTTCCATGTATTAACAGATATTTCTATGTAGCTACCTACCTAATAACAAGTTATTGCCAACTACTTCCATGTATTAACAAAATATTTCTACATATTGCCAGGTATTTAACTAGTATTATTACATATTACCAGGTATTGCCATGCTATTGACAGACTTAAATCAAATATTTGTCTTGCCAGAATTCTAGGTATTGACATATCCACAGTATTTACATGTTATTAAAGGGTATCAACGAATGACATTAACATATATTGCCTAGATATCTACAAGTATTGACATTTGACATAATTATATTACCTATATAGTAGGTATTACATAAGTATTGACATAGTATTTACCTGGTATTGACATATATCAACCAGTTATTTGTACACCTATTAACAAGATTAAAAACCCCTCGGTTCGAATCTGGCAATGGGATTTTTTTTAAAGGTTTTTTCTTTCTGCATGGTGCTAGCTAGGGATTATACCTAAATACGAAATCACCAAACCAAAGAAAATAAATTTGAAAAAGGTAATA